CGTGATATATTTTTTTATACCAAAGCTGACCTAACCACGTTGGCCTTTTGAAATGGTTGGAGCTATTTTTTCCTGATTTATATTGGCTTTTTAAATAGATTTTTTTTCACGCTGAGCTAATTTCTAATGATATTTTGATGTAGCACACACACACACAACTAATATTTGTGTATTCTCATTGACAATGCTTACGACTTTCCCAGCACATGTTTACTCTCACATTGCACTGATAACACAATCCCCCTTACATTCACTGATGAGGTGCCTGTGACTCGGAGTAGGTTTCACTTACTTGGTTCTCTATTAGCACCAATGGCGTAGAATAATAATTTTGTAAAGGTGCAGCCCTGTAATTTCTTACTCATGCCATTGCTGTAGAAGGGTCTGCACGAAGAGCGAGCCAGCTCCAGAGAGCCCCTCTAGAGTGCACTATGGCCTACTCTTCCACACTGCCAGACAACTTTAAATATGGACGAGTACGCACACTTTAGAACACCACATACGACTCACTGTGGTGTACGCAATTATAGTGCGGGATGGACTGAGCCGGGGATATTTAATAAATGTACCCAATGTGTCAACAGCCACGCCAGGATGTCGAACTGGTGACATCTTAATTTGCAAGTGCAGTGTGCTGACGGTCACACAGAGGCGGATGCCCCACCAATGTTGAGTAATACAGCATTTAATATATACATGAATGGGACTCCTTCAGTCAGATTTTAATAGTTTTGAATATACACAAATCGGACTCATTTAGTCAGATTTGTATAGTGTTACATCACCTTCTGAACTACAGATAATTGCGTGGATTTTACTGATGGCTGCTCCTGCGTGTATACGTGCGCTTGATGTTGCAATGTTGAATTCGATAACCTATGGCGTATCTTATATTCTTGGTTCTTTCGGTAAAGTCACATAGAAGGGAAACAATAAAATATGAAAATATAAAACAATAAAAAAATTTAAATTATCTTTTTGTGGTTTTCACACCTGATGATGATTGCTTGTGTTGCAGTCGAAACATCGTGAGAATTTTATTGTTTTATATTTTTATTATTATTTTATTGTTTCCCTTCTACGTGACTTTACCGAAAGAACCAAGAATATGAATCCCTGCAGTCACGAAAGCTTTAAATAAAAATTTATGCCATATCTTCTATGAGGACATGCACCAGATGCAGCGAAATTCAGATTATGGTGTGGAATTGTAAGATCCCCTTTCTTACGCATGACTTTACTCCTTACCAGACCTAGCAGATCACACCTGTTCTATCCACCACTCCCTTCTATGGCACGTGGTGGTTGCTCTTGTCGGCCTCTAAGTTCTCACTGCTGGGTGTAGGATACCAATCCCTAATTTTGTCCCATTTTCTTCCCTATTTTCTAGTTGTACCCTTCCCAGCAGTGACCTCCGAATTCTTTGCATTCTTTCAGATATCCACTCCGCAATTTAACTTTGTCTATCTTTCAAGTAGCGAAGCGTGTCAAAGGCACTTCCTAGCGAAGCTTACGTGACATGACAGATTACAGCTTTGCCTATAATTTTATTCTTGAATTCAGATGATGGCCTATCAGGTTATGTGACCCAGAGGCAAGGAATCAATTGGCATAGCTTCAAGTTGAAGACAATGAAATTAATCTCCTTTACCTTTGCCCTGGTGGTCCATCGCTACAATATTTGACAGGCAAAGCATGTTTCTAATGTTTAAAGCTGCAGTAAACAAGATCGCGATATGGTTGACCAAAGGTCGCTTTGCAGTTCATGTGTTAACAATTGCAGTCCATTCAATAGTTGCACTGTGTAATGCTAACATTAGGGTCTTGTTTGTCCTTTTCAATGCCATCTGATTGTATATAATTTTGTTACAAAGGTTTTAACATTCCCGGGCATGGCAATATCACATGATGTACAATGTCAAATATAATATACCACGCGTAAAATAAAAAAAACGCAGATCTTAAAATGCAATACAGTATTCCGTTTTATTTTCATTGGAAAAAGGTGGACATGACAAAATGCGGTGAATAAACACACACACACAACCTCATTTTAATGGAGTCACAGCCGATGTATAGATCATTAGATATTATTCTATTTCACAGCCACCAAACATGTTAAATGACGAATTTCTGTTGTATTTGAAATTCTAATCGCACCCTCCTGGGAGGTGTGCCCACATTTCTCTTTTAAAGTCTTCCATCCTAAATAGAGGACATGGCCGCCAATTTTGACATTTGAGTAGGGGATGGTGTGTTTACGTGAATATGTAAACTACTATATATATATAAAAAAAAAGATTTACCAGGCAAGGCCCACTGAGCTACAACCTGGCCACAAATGATAGCTAAACGAAGTGGCTTTTCACGTGGAAATTTATAGCAGCCAAACACTCTAAATGCATCAGGATCGGGATGGAACCCACGACCTCCTGTGGTTAACATCTCGCCATGTTTGTGCAAAGTTAACATCTCGCCATGTTTGTGCAAAGTGCTGGCAAAGTGGTAATCATCAAAAGTAAAGGTGAAGCCCTGCGATTATTCACTAATGCCACTTCTGTCTGAAGGGCCTTCACTAGAGAGAGTTCAAGCTATGGCTCTAGGATTTTGGTGTTACATGTTATTTATGTAGTTTATTGTTAAAAATTCGGTCACAGTCCTTATGATCACTGTTACATTGCATTTATGGTTTTATTTTGGTGATTTCGAAAACGTTTTTTGGTTTGGCCATGTTTTTGTTTATTGTAGTACGGAGTTAGACTGATGGCCTTAATCTTAGTTGTCTTGTGGTTGTTGTTGTTTGACTTGCATCCCACTGGGATTTTTGCACACAGCGTTGGTGTACGTTGTTATTTCAGGAATATTTTGATGTTTTTTCCCTGGATTTTCTATTTGCACAGTCACATAATCACTTTAAGATGTTTTCTTGTTCATGTTTTTTTTTTGTTTGTTGCGGTTGCACCCAATTCAAGAGCCGAATGGCTCACAGGGCTATACCAAATAAATGGAACTATGAACTAAGAGAGCCCCTCTAGATGGTATTCGGCCTACTCTTTTTCCACTAATCAGATATCTTTGGAAAAGTTCAAGTTTACTTAGTTTCACCAGCGAGAACTCAAACGACCACGATGAGTCTCCTTCGCAGGAGTGACCTCGGCCACCGAAATGGATAAAGCAATGCAAATAAAAGGTGGGAATGTATCTCCACTTACCTGATGGTCATGTACCCATTTATACTGCCCTTATTGTGCTGCGCTCGATCCTTGCCCTGTGTGACTCCAGTGGCGATCATTGTCTGGCTCTCGCTTGGCATCTAGGTCAACTCATCTGGGGCGCGACGGTGGCGAGATGTTAACTACTTCGCCTGGTGCACAGGAGGTCGTGGGTTTGATTCTGACCCTGATGCCTGCTGTATATTTAGCAATTGCATGTTTTCCCCGTGGTCGCTTGGATTTTCCTTCAGGTCCTCCGGTTGTTCTCTCCACATTAATGAACGGGATTTTAGAGTATTTGGCTGCTGTACATTTCCACGTGATAAGCCACTTCGTTGAGCTATCATTTGTGGCCAGGTAGCGTCTGAAAAAGAGCTAATATAGCTCAGGTGTCCTTACCTGCTAGAATAAAACGTCAGGATTGTTTGCATCTGAAACTGTGCACCTTGTGTGGTTTGGTAAGCATTTGTACGACCAAATGTGGGGCCAGGTCAGCCATAATACGTGATGGCTGGCATCGCTTGTGCAGCCTACAGTGCTGAATGGGTAATATTTCTCGTTGACAATGATAACAATATTAACGACGACTTCTGTACCGAGTCACAACACCGCAAGCCATTACAGGGGCCATTATTGTAAAGTTCTGTTCAAGGTGGGGTTATTTCAGTGTAAGGATTCCAATTATATGTAGGAGAAATTACTCACTAATTTGAATGAAAAAAAACTACTTTTCAATTAAACCTAGTCTTAAATGCAATTTTTCGTAAAAAAAAAGGACCTGAATATACATCCAGGTTTTAAGTGGCATCTTTTTATCCTTGCTTTACATTTTTTCATACGCTTATAATTATTGGTATAGGATGCACTTACACAAGCAAAAAAAAGCGAATGCATTATAAACGTCCCTTTCACTGAGATATGGTATAATCAAAATGTTATTACGGCACTCTTAAAATGAATACATTCACCCCCAGCAGCCTGGCGTACACTTTGTACGCACATGAAAAATGTTCACAGTGTCCAGTAAACCATAACTTAAAGTGTGTGTGTGTGCACGGAGCTACTTGTTCGGGAGTGGTTATGGCACTGCTACAAACCCCTGGCGACCTGAGTTTGATTCCTGCCCATGGCCAACATCAGCAACAAACATCCAAACTGGTCCTTGGCCTTTCCTGGGTCGATTCATCCTTGAATGAATTACCTGGTACGGTGTGTAGACATCAGCTCCGGGGAGACAAAGACGGCGGGGTGCAATATTGACATCACCATCCCCTCGTGCACCGTGCTAGCCTTCATATCCACTCGCTAACAGCACTTGCATTAGCAGCCAGTGTCGGTTTAACAGGGAATCTGTCTCTGCGTATTTGCGATTAGACGTGGTCAGAACAGAGCGATGGTCCAGGTGACCCAGCTTATATTCAACACCATGCCACGTGAACTTATCCTCGCAGGCAGAGGCTTTTAACTAACTATTGAACAAAGACGGTCACTGCATCGCGCGCTTTCAGATGCGCTTCTGCGGCCGTCTGGAACGCTCTTCCTTCCGATATGAGGAAGCCGCTGGAGCTATGCACTTCAAATCTAGATTGAAAACTAATTTCTTTAGAACTGCTTTTTGTGTTTAGTTTGTTGTCCTTCCCCTGCGCCTCCGATGAGCGCAGTTGCCAATGTACGGCGCGAAATAAGTTCAACATACATGCATACATGTGACTCGGCTTCTATTTAAAGCCATGCAATGACCGTGCGCGCGGGGTCTTTGTCCCTCTCTCTCTCTCTTTGTGTATGCAGTGTGTGTGCAGCCAGCTTGGCGGTCGCTCGCAGCAGCTGACAAGCACCACCCCCCCCCCCGCCCGCAACCCGGGTGACCGCGTGCACGAGCAGCGGGCCGTGCGGCTGGCGCAAGAGACGATGGCCGCGTGGAAGTGCAGCCCGCGCGTGATGCTGCTCACGAGCCTGTCGCTGGTGCTCACGCTCACCACCGTCTACATAAAGCACACGCGCACTGAGCCGCCGCTCAGCACCAGGCTGCCCACCGCCCTCGTCACGCACAGGTACGGTTTTAAAGTCCGCGGTTAAACAGTCGGCCACTGCCCTGTGCCCCACGAATAACTTCGGGGGGCCGGCGATGATCGTGGAATAATGGAGGCGGTCGTGTGCATTGGTGTCGGCACGCGGCGTTGTGACCTGCGACAGGCTGTTTTTTTTACAGTGCGGATTGCGGACCCATGTATTTTGTGGCAGAGGTTACACTCACATTGGGGTTATCATTTAAACAGACGACGCTAAAGCGGCTGCGACGCGAATCGTAGTTTCGCAGCTATTCGTTCGTCTATCTCTGCATGCAAAAATTTGCCGTGATGATACAACGTGTTTACGCGTGAACGGATTGGCAAATGGCAATATCATGAATCGCGGCACATTCTTTGACGGTCCCGCTGCCTGGGTTTCAACATCTGGGGCGTGCCTGCCGCTGTATGCATTTGGCGCGGTGCCCGCTTGTTTGAACGGGGCAGGCCCCCACCGCGCGAGTGTCATGGTGTGACTTGACAAGACTTCGCCCCCACGTGACCGACACCGCGGTTATAAACTGTCATTAATAACGCGCGACAAGTGGTTGGCGGGCGTCACAGATGTGCTGCTCAACTACGATACCGACCGGCAGGGGATCGCCAACGCGCGTAAATCTCGCGCCCCAACGCAGCTCCGGTAGTGGGATCCTCCTCGGCTGGCGATGGCGGCTGGTTAACCCCAGGCACGAGGTGTCCATAATGTGCTTAACCCGAAACCGGAAGAACAAATAACTTTATCGGTACCGAGGCTCCCATCAAGGACATGCGGGAGGGCGTGTGGCACAGTTTGGCACCAGCTATCGTAGAGTGAGGTCGCGTCGCTACGGTTCTGCGCGGTGAGTACAATGTCTTTAAAAACAGCGGTATTACGCCTCTCTAAATAGAATGAACGCCGAGCCGCTTGCGCGTTACGAGATTCAGAGGTGAACAGGACCCCCGCTTGAACTTGCAGACGTCTCAGAAAGGGGAAAGGGTTAACTTCGTGGCTTTACTGCCCCGATCACACGTGAGGCGACGTACGAGGTGGGCGCCACTCGACACGGTGCTGTGCGGCTGAAGAGCTGTGAGCAAGCCCTGCGTGCTCGTTGCTTTAATACTCCTTGAAGGGGTTAATTGTGAATGTTCACTTTTATGGAAGTGTCGTCTTATGCTGCCGCTTGAGCGTAATGCGCGATTAAACTCAGGGTCAGCTTTTAAAACTTGCCGGTAAGAAGGAATGGGCAAACTGGGGCATGTGGTTTATGTGGTAGCTCTGTTGAGTTTGTTGTTCCTTCCATGAACACGATTAAACACGTACAAAATACATTTGGTACATTTTATTTGTGGTTTATCCGTTGGCAGTCCCTTGCATGCTGTTACTTTGTCACTTTTATTTTCCAAAAGTATGATTCAGATAACATGCTAGCTATACCACCCGACTGATTTATTGATCCTTCTTTTTGCCTACTTTGCTCATTTACATTCTATCCAAGAGATATATTTAGCATTGTAATTTAGGGCATGCCAATCAATCGGTCTGTGAGATATTGATCTACAGGAATCGTTTGGGCTTGCATAACAGCAATGGGAGTGGAGTGGTCGTGCAGTGGTTAGCACCCTGCGCAATGAAGCCTGCCACCTGAGTTCCATTCCCAGCCATGGCTAACATTAGTGGCGAGTGATATCTGAACTGGTTCTGGGCCACCCCTTAACCAAACCCACACTGACCATGGTGGCGAAGTATGACCAAACAGCACGTGTAATTTAGGTGGCGTCAGGAGGCCTTAATGCGTTGGTGGATTAACAACGAGCCGTATGAAAAATCGTTGATATTTGTCTCGGCCAATTGGAAAGGAGTATTTGATAGATGTCACACGCCCGGCTAACCGTTGCAAGTAAGGAGCTCTAAGCATGCAGCACGTTGAAGGTCGCTTCTGAAAAAGAGATATAGAGCTCAGAGGGGCCTTGCATAGTGAAATAAAACAAATTGTTTAGTTTGTGGCAGCCGCCTGACAACGGGACACTGGCGCAGCGTGGTGCAACGGCTAAGAGGTGGAGGGAGCCGCCGGTTCGCCAGGGAGAAGTGGTGGCGCCTCGCACCGCGGGCTCTGGCACTCGGACGTTCACAAGGGCCCTTTCGCGTTGCCGTCTGTGCCAACGCTAAGGGGACGTGACTCGCGCGCTCGCACCCACGCTCGCTCGGACGCTCTTCTTGAGCCGTAAGCCACCCGCCCCAAATAACCCTGCGGGGCACGTCTGCATCCGCCGGGGGGGGGGGGGGGTGGGTGGGGGGTCGACGAACTCCTGCGACATCGCGCTTAGCGGTGTCGCTTTAATCCGCTGCCCTCTTGCTTCTCCGCTTTGCGAGAGATCCCGTTAAAATGGCGATAGGGTGCGGCTTTGCTTTGGGTTTTTCCCCCTTTCGCGGCGCCAGGGCCACCTTGGTCGCTGCGCCGCTTAGCCGTGTCTGTTGGACTGTTGTGCAAAACCGGCCTTCCCGTCAATAACTCTGAATTCATTTGAGATCTTGTGCGCCCGGGCATGCCTTTAAGAGGCATTCGCGCGAGCGAATAATTCCAGTCCATCGGACCTCAATCGCGGGGACACTAGGAGTCACGGTCAGCCCCAGGTGCATCCTCCGCCTAGATCTCTAATGCCCAGGCGCAATAAATCAGCCGACTCGGAGGCAACGGCACGCTGAGGTAGGGAGCTTGTGTTGTGGCCCCATGCTCTTGGATTTATTGCCCTACGGGTTTCAGGGTTCATGACTCTTTGGCACAATTTCTTCTTAAGCATCTTACAATTTTTAAAGAGATTTTTTTAGGCTTCTGTGGGGGAAAAAAAAGCATAAAGTGCGCAAATAGACATGGAGCGATGCATTCTGTGAATTACACTGAGAGACAGGATGATACGCAAGTGACATTGAGGGACGAAAAGGCAAGTCGATTCGAGAATGACGGGTAGGCTCAATACGTAATTCAAAATGTTCAGAAATGTATGGGCTTTGGGGCGGGACACGTCGCTAGAAGGGACGATGGCCGACCATCGAGGATAATGATGGAAGTGACGGCCAAGGAATGAAACTCGTCTTTGAGAACGTCTGAGGGGGATGGAGCGAAAATCCGCTCGCGTGGAGATACTGGGTGGATTGTTACATCGCGGCACTGTAACAGATCGCGGCAGCCTGGGAAAGCCTTCACCCAGCAGTGGATCGATCATGCCTGATGATGATTGTGAACTTAACGGGGGTTTATTTTTCGATTTAAAGCTTTCGTGACTGCAATGATTCATCTTCTTTGGTTCTTTCGGTAAAGTCACGTAGAATGAGAATAAAATAATAAATTGATAAAATAAAATAACACAATAATATTCACAATGAAGGCCGCTTGTGTTGTGGCCGTCATGAGAATATTATTGTGTTATTTTATTTTATCAATTTATTATTTTATTCTCATTCTACGTGACTTTACCGAAAGAACCAAAGAAGATTAATGGGGGTTTGTTATGCTTAAGGCCACTAAACATTTGTCTGAAAAAAAATACAAGGAAATCTGTGCTGTGTGATGCGATATGGGGATGCATGGTGAGTGCTTGAATTAGATTTTATCTAATGGATATGTATATAATTGTATATACTGGAGTGCGTGCGTGTGTTGTGTTTTGAGCAGTCATTATGCGATGGCTCGCATATGGCATTGCCTGGGTTCATATCAGGCCACCTGGATTCTGTTCCTGGCCTCTCCTAACGTTGGGTGTACAGTATAGTGCTGGCCTATCTTGTACCATTGAAGTCATACCAGGAACCCATCAACAGCTTTTGTCTCAAAGTGTCAATATGGCCTTGGTACTCGTGTGTGTGTGTGTGCATGCACATACACTGGGGTTGTGGCGGCATAGCAGTTAGCGCGCCGCGCTACGAACTCGGCACCCCGAGTTCGATTCCTGCTCATGGTCAGCACCGGTGATGATTATCTGAACCAGTCCTGGGCCTAGCTTAGGTCGACTCAACCTCAACTGACTACCTCGTGCAGTGTGTAAACATCGCCACTGGGGAGACAAAGGCGGCCGGGCGCGGTGTTTGCCACACACTCCCTCTTGTGCCGTGCCGGCCTTCATAGGCGATCGCTAACAGCGCTTGCCCCAACAATCTGTGAAAGGCTATATGGGGGATATTTGCTTCTCTTTGCATTATAGATTATTTGGGTAAGTGCTGTAACCAAGCACGTATCATAGTTCACAAGTGTTGTAGTTGTTAGCACAATGCCCAGTCACTTTTGTTACCCCAGTGTTTAGTTTGTTTACACATGGCAGCAGATACTCATTTAAGGCTGAAATGACCGAGTGGGAAGCCCCCGACAGGTTCAGATATCACTTGCCACTGATGGTATTTATGGGCACAAATCTAAACGAAAGTTATTGGAATTGTGCAGTAAACACTGCGCCATCACTCCTCATTGCAAATAGTTGTGGTTATTAGAGTGGTTAATTTACTGTGCCAAGATCCCAGCACCTGGCTTTGATTCCCAGCTATGGAAAACATTTGCGGCAAATGGCATATCCAAGCACGTCTTGGCGCTCACCTAGGTCCGCTCAACCAAACGAGCCACCCGCTTTGCCACACCGGCGTCGACAGGTGCTCGCTAGCGGCGGATTTCTATACGGCGGCAACGGAGGACCTTCCTCCTTTGTGCGCGCGCCCACAAAGTGTCGATACGTATAAAGCGGCAATTGTTTGAAAATTCCAAATGGCATCGCCAATTAGGGCGAGCACGGGGGGGGGGGGGGGGGGTGGTGGTGGCGACACGAACGAAGCCTGAAAGGGGGGCTATTGTGGGTGCAGAGCAGCGCGACGCAGCGTGACAGCTCTCCCCGCGTCGCAGCCCCCTTGTCCTCTGATTGATGGACACGAAGGGGATTGGTGGCGGCTCTTGATGACGAAAGCCGTTCCCGGCCGGGCGTTCCGCCGCACATCCCCCAGTGGCGCTCACGGGGAGGGAATTCCGCTCTCGCCGCCCGCTTCTTAGTTTCTCCCATGCGGAGCGTCCGCCTGGAGCTCGCCGCACGAGAATAACAAATGAATCCCCCTCCGAGCCCGCGCGACAAGAGATGAGTGCTTTGAGTGGCCTCGCCTTCACTTCCAAAAGTTTCCTCTCCCTCTGCCTTGTTTGTTTAAATATTTGCCTCAAATGCGAACTCGAGGTCAAGATCAAGGCGTCATCTCGGCCAAAGCCGTTGGATCCCACCGCGCCCCGCCGACGCTGTCAACCGTCCGCCGTATCCCAGAGTTGCGGCACAGTGGATAGGCAACCTACGAGATCTACGCTGACAGCCTCCTTACAATTGCATCTTGGGTCTGCCCCTTGTTCTCTGGGCTCGTGGAGTCTCGGCGAGCAGCCCTCCTCCATTCCCGCACACGTGCACCGACTCACCTGCTCCACGCTCTTTTGGGTTCCTACACTGCCGATCCTATCCTGCCACGAGGTTTCTGGTCTCTTGCCAGACACCCGCTCTCAACTGCCAACAATTTACTTTTCAAGCCGCCTATTTAAACTCCAGTCTCCCAATCTCCCTACGTTACCATTAGCCAATCGTCCCACGCTAGGCCTACGGCCGGCACTTTACCCTTCCGTCTCGGTTGTCTTTCTGGTTGAGTCGGCTTGCGCATACGTACGCCGCTGATTCTTTCCACATTTCCTTCGCACTCGAACGATGTTTCCACCGTCGGCCGAATAGAAAAAAATTCACGCAAGCCGTGTGCCACTGGATGGAAAGGCACGGCCATGCTCCTATTGCAGGTTGAGACCGTTAGCCAATCACCCTGACAGCTGCCCACCAGCACCGCGCATGAGTTGTGCGGTCCAGGCAGGGTGGGGAAGGTGGGAAGCAATTTATTTGCTTATTTATAGTTTGACATTTCAGGCGTAGTGCGGCCAATCGCTCATCACATTGCAATAGCAGAGACCATGCCCTGGGAGTGCTTGGGAAGACTCCAAGGTGGCGAGTGGCGGGGAACCTTTGTTATGCAGTAATTAGGTACCGTGCCAAGTGATGTTTTCACATAAAATGAAAGATGAGAAAGAAAATCCCTATGGGGTGCGGTCAGACAATATGATTTGCGATGCAATCTCCCACGCTTTAGTCGGGTATTTTTTATTTTAACTCTCCAGCTGCATTTTGCCCAATGAGGCAGCGCCATTCTTGAGAATGCCTTCGCTTTGTGGGTCATTTCGTTTCTTGAATCTTTTTTTTAATGCAAATGTTTTCTTTGATGGCCGCTGAATTGCTTGTGTTGCCACTCATTAAAGCTCACAATTCCTGCCCTGCCAATTTAACAAAACTTTAACAAACTTTTCCCCCCGAATAAAGTGGGATTGTTGATTGACTTCTACTTCAATGCTCCCTTATGTTGGCGCTATTTCAAAGGATTCCCTTTCATTTTTTGTTGCGAAGGATGTGGAAGTGCTGGCACAGCAGTTTTGTGTGAGTCCACTGTGTTCGCTGAGTAAAAGATTTAATTCCCCTGTTAAACCTCTTTGAAATCAATAAGCGCTCTCAAAATGCTGTTTCTTTTGTCCATCTGTACACACGCGTGGGGTGCTTGTGCTGGTTATTACCGTGGGCTTTTGGTCGGAAGCTACCGTTGATATATTATTGAAAATCTTTTCCAGGTGAAGGACATTCGCCATTACGGGCAATCGTTTGTTTAAAAGTCTGCTCAGGTAGACCCTTGCGGTGAGGCATTTTCATTAATGGCTTCGTGGCTTCGTCAAAATGAGTTTGTCCAAAGTTTTAAGACCCTAACTGGCCGTGGTACGAGTACGTGGCAACGGGGGTTTTTCCATGGACCGGTGGCAAGAAAGCCGTCACCGGTATTTTTGTATGTCATCTTCTTTGGTTCTTTCGGTAAAGTCACGTAGAATGAGAATAAAATAATAAAATAACACAATAACATTCTCACGACGTTTCGGCCACAACGCAAGCGGCCGTCTTCATTGTATGTCTTTGAGGAGTTTGACGGAGGGGTAGTACAACATGAGAGAGGCTGCCAGCCATTTACCTCCGATTATGAGGGCAGCTGCCACATTCCTCTCTCTCTCTCCATGTCCCGTGACAGAGGCTCGTGCCAGGTGCCTGGCATAAGTAAAAAAAAAATTAGATAAAAAAATACCGTACAAAGACTACCTGTTGCTATATTTCGTATACAGAAGAACCCTAATTTGTATAATGTTAAATTGTGCAAGAATGTGAGGGATGAATTGGCCATGGATGATGATGATGATGATGGAATTAATAATGTTTTTTTTTATCCTTTCAAACATTCACGTGGTGTTTTGGTAAGAAGCAGTGAGGGCAATCTGAAAGATCGCTCACCGGCGAGCTTGATACACATTGTCATCTGTCCAGCCCAGCTACATACACTTCTGTAAAGACTCGCAACGCTTTGGCTCCTCGTGGAGCCACGTTCTTCCACGTGAATTTGTTGGCCGAGATATCAAACGTCCACGCGGTGCTTTTCTTCGTTTTGTTAACAGAAGCGCGTTCACTCAACGCGAGTCTTTTAAACCGAGATGGTCGAGGTCACACGGAGAGAGCCTCGTGAGCGAGCGTTCGAGGTGGCGTGTGCATTCCCAACGTTACTCCAGTGATGTTGCATCGCCCAAGATTACAACATGCACACAAAACAATGACAAAGATCCCCCGTATAACCTTAACCCGAGTTCAATTCCCTTTCACGGCCAACACCAGTGATGCTTATTTTCCGTACCAGTCCTGGGTCTCCTCTAGGTCGACTCAGCCGAAAATGATTTCCTGGTGCGGTGTGTAAAACAAAGAGACAAAGGTGGCTGGGCGTGGTGGTGGCCATCCACCCCCTTGTGTGCCATGCCGGCCTTCACAGGTGCTCAATAACAGCACTTGTGCCAACAGTCTGTTCGGCATCTGTGGGACTTTTTGTTGCTGTTGCCAGTATCAAATACGTTGAAAAAAATAAGAAGAGGAGGTGCCAAGATGTTCAAACACCAACTAGAAACGTTTTGCAGGGCATCAACCCTGCATTCACCGCGCACACTTGTGGTCAAAAGATGTGCGAGCAAACTATACAATGGGGATCTCTGCCCACTTTTGTGTTGTTGTCGTTCCTGCGCCCCATTGCCCGTGGCGCGCAGGGTGAAGCTGGTGCCCGCGCACAGCGGGGAGGCACTGCCGTCGCGGCGCGGGGGTCTGGGCGCCGGCGTGAAGACGTGCGCGTGCGACAGCTGCGTCGCCGACTCGGGCCTCTCCGAGTGGTTCGACCAGCGCTTCAACCGAGACATCGTGCCGCTGTGGACGCGCGAGAACGCCGACCTTCCGGACACCGTGCACCACTGGTGGGGGGTGAGTCGCCCGTTTTCATTTCCAAGAAATCGCACCCCCCACCCCCACCCCCACCTCGCCGCGTTGTTGAATGTTTTATAGACTGCGTTGGTGCAACGGGAGCAGCGGCAGCCTCCAAATGTTGCTGCCAAATGTTTTCTGACGTGAACACCCTTTTGCTGTTGTCGCTGTTGTTCAGCGTAGAATGGCATCATAAGTTGAGGTGAAATTGTTCACTCGGCGCCACTGCTGGCGGAAGGGCCTGCACGATAGGCAGCTCTCGAGAGCCCCCTATAAGTAGATGCTTTGGCCTACTCTTCCACACATTCCAGATATCTTGGAAGAGCTTGGAGTATTCCCCCAATGTGCTCATCAAATGACCGTGGCGTACCTGTTTATACTACTGTGGGGGCAGGCGGAGGAATACGATAAGCTTGCTCGCTGCTGTAACTGCTATGGCAGGAAGATCGAATTGGCACCCTCTGGATATTAAGTCCAGTTCTGCATACAGCGTTATAGGCATGGCTATATTTAACGGGAAAATCCTCGCTGAGTCTCGGCGCTATCTTAAGGAGGGTGCTGCATTACTTGCACACGAGCATACCACACTCAAAGCTGTCCACAAATGCTGGATTAAATTCATTCCTCTGTCATACATTGGCGACTTCACTACCTGATCCACAGGAGCATGCAGTGGACATCTCATGCTCCTGTGAAGTTCTATAATCACTAAACAGGATTATGTGGAGGAGATGCAATCACAGGATTACAAATTAGGAGCAGCTACTTTGCTTTAGGGCCAGATTTAGAAATGCATGTGTCTCTGCATTGTTTCTGTGAACTTTTAAGTGTTAAGGAACCAACTCTTACCATCTTTAGACTCCCGCTCTCTTGTTTACTGGACACAAGAATGCGGTGCTTATTTAAAGCTTCCCAGAGCAAACATCACGTCGCTTTTCCAAACTTGGTGGCATGGGATTTGAAAAAAGAAAACATCGTTGCAGGCTTGGGTCGCCAAAGAAAATGTAATAAAGAACTCTGTGAAGCGGCCAAGTCTGGTGCAAAACCTGCACAGTTGGTAACGTGTTAGCACTTTCATGAAGAGCCCCCTGGAATGAAGTTTATTGTTTAGTTGTAAATTAGTTTTTTTTTCTATTTACGGCATTGATTCACATCGTCTGTACAGTGCCGCGCTTGGTTAAGCTTGGCCCAGTGCAAGAGAATAAACAGATAAACGAATGCAAGGATACACAATGTACGAGCAGGAGCGTGGCATCAGGTGATGATGGTGCATGTTATACAACAATTAACGACCATGGCTTGTTGCTTATCTGAACTCTTAACAACGTGTCTCGGAAAAAAATAAGTTAAACTAAACTCAACAAATTTTAATTTTTAATTTTACCAGGTACGGCCCACGGAGCTTATACGGTAGCTCTTTTTCAGACGCGACCTGGCCCGCAGGTGATAGCTCCACGAAGTGGCTTATCGTGTGGACATTTACAGCAGCCAAATACTCTAAATACGTTTGCGTACCATTCGTGTGCCTCTGAGATCCCATCAAGTGACCTCCAGTCCATGCAGCAGTACAGCAGCACTCTCCCTCCCGCTGTATATAAAACTCAATGTCAGTGAATCGATGCATCAAATTCTCACGACGAGTTATTGTCGAAACGTCGTGAGAATTTTTTATTGTTTTATATATATTTTGCTATTTTGTTGTTTCTCTTCAACGTGACTTTACCGAAAAAACTAAGAATATGTACGAAGATGTTTGTGTAGGCCGAGCCGGCCGCTGTGAGATTCGCTTTCATTTCAACCGAAGCCTGTAAATGCCGCTCATCTCGGCAAAGCAGCTCGGCCCAATGCGCAAATTTGTCGAGGAGAGTCTCCCTGCGTTTGTTTTGGTCTCTCTGTGAGAGCGCTGCCGTGCACCGCTCGCCGCTCATTCCCCTTCCATTTGGCTTTTCTTGGAAATGAATTTGAGCGCAAAGTGCGTGGCGGGGGGAACTGGACTCCGCCGTTGTGCACCTCTCTTTGCGCGCGTGGCAACAACTCGGGGCCCACGGGGCAGGCCTTGTTGTATCACGGCGTGTTCACATCAGTGTGAATAATTATTTTCCAAAGGAGGCATGAAGGAACGGCCGTGGCATGCACGGCATGCTAAATGTGAGATGCGGTGCTGCGTGTTCTCCCTGTGGTCACGTGGATTTTTCTCCGGGGCCTTCGGTTCTTTCTTCCACAGTTAGAAACATTCGTTTCGAGTATTTGGCTGCTATATATATATCCGCACAATAGGCCACTTCGTTGAGCGATCATTTGTGGCCAGGTCGCTTCTGCAAAAAGAGCTACATAGCTAAGTGGGCTTTACCTGCTTAAATAAAATTGTTTTTAAATATACAGTGATCCGCTTCTAAATACCCCACTAAAATACATCACGTAATCTGGAGAAACTAGAACACGAGTTAATCTTTTAGGGGAGACGAGAGGAGAAATCCAATGCGAATGCATTAGGCGTGAAATAAAATTAATAATTGCAAGCGCAATACCGTAATAAGCATGCAAAATACCGAGTGTCATTATGCATAGTGTGGATTATAACTTTATATGGAAATAGCCTAATGAATAAAACACTGCAACTTGTGTAAAGACAAATTACTCCTGTTAATTGCGAGATGAGATGCTTAACACAATACATATATTGTAGCTTATTTAGCTGAAACTAATTGCTGAGATTTCGTTGCAATGCCACCTGCTGAAATAATTTTTATTCATGACAGATTAATTGGTTAAATTGGTAAAAAAAAAATCCACATTCGTGTTGTCTTGAGATATGCCCGGTGCCTTTTTATTCCCCCTCAAGATGTGGTTTTTTTGTTGTTGTGAATTGTAACAAAAGGCAGTTTATTCCAAAGCTCGTGCAACGCGAGTTCTCAGGTGAAACCGTGCGCTTGTTGACGTCGGGTTGTGTGTAGAGCCGGGACAATTTGTCCGTCCAAGGAAATTCGTCCGTTACATTTTTGGTGGTCGATTACTCGGTACCCCCTTTTAAAAATGGCGGCCACTCCGACATCCAGCCTCCCTAAGGTGGGAAACCCCCCTACGGGCCATGTCCATCCATTATGATGCAGCTGATGATACCTGTGATGTCACCACCAAGCCCCCTGCCCCGTAACCTCACCGGTTGGGATGATGGGTGGCTTTTATTGCCGAACTTTTTTAATTTCGATCCGATTGGTCAAAGTAATTGAAGCGATAATTCGTGGAGTAGTTGTTCCCGTAAATAACACGACGGGCGAGCTCTCGTTGTGAGCGCCTGTGGCATCGTAAAGCGGTGGGCATGTTGGCGGTGCCGTCAATTAATCGCCACGCGTGCATCGAGTTGCGTCTGCGAGCTTAATTACAGAATTATATATGCAAATGCGATGCTCGCGTTGTGTGGGAGCTGCACACGAAGCAAAGGAGGAAGTAGCAAAGGAGGCAGAACAAAAATATACGAGTCTGTAGCAAACGACACGTTGAGATGTAATTGTATTTATACGCCAGGCAAATCCGAAATTGTATTGTACAACTCGTCCGAGGTTATTGTTTTAATATATATGTGTATTCTTCTGTCTTGCACTCCTCCATTAATATATTTTGGTTTTGCATGTATTACCCATGAGGATTCTGAGCTATTATACTGTCAAAAGGAGACAACAAAAATGTGTTATTCAAATCGAATCATGACCCCGAATCATAACGATCACAGGCTCCATCATCGCTTGCTTAATTGGCAGCAATTGCTGCCTTGACATTCGGGAGAAGATTCTTTGCTCCACGGCGGTGAATTGAACATTTCTACGTGCCGCTTTTCTGGCCCTCTTGTTTTTTGGAAAAGTGACACAGACACACAGAAGCCCCCCTCCCACCACCACCACCACCATTCGGCCCGAGGAGCTGCAGCCCTGTTTTTCTGGCGGCGTTGACGGTGCGAACGTTTGATTCCGAGATGCTCTGGGAGTCCTGCCTTTGTTTCTCCCCGATCGCTGGCTCCCTCGCGGCACGTGACCCCCCCCCCACCACCCCCATCCCCCACCACCGCCCCCCCACCACTGCCGGCAGGGACCGCACAGTAATGAGATTTTTAGCAGCTGGGTTGTGCACCCTGCCGAAAAATATTATTTCCCATAATCCAATAAATGGACCGCGGTCACCATGCCGCACGTCAGAATGGGTCATCTGCTCGATGGATAAACGCGCGTAATGTTTCGTGCGAAGCCCATTTGGAACATCCGCTCATGATGAGATGATTCTTCGCGCAGTCATGGAACATTGCCGTTTTAAGTGTTGGGGACAGCCCGAAGCCCAAAGACGGTGTGATGTAAAACTGTCTGTCGAATGCTCATGTCCACCAGTGTTATTTAATTACTGGTTTGCATGCATGCGTGCTTGCTTATTTATTTATTTTCTTATTTAGAAGGAGCGAGGTTTCACTTTCCTACCTCAGCCACTTACCTCTCCCTCTCGCCCTCGCTGTGCCTCGCTTTTGGAATACATTAAATCACGGAGAAGGAGCCAGCGTGCATGAAAAACCTACCTCCGAGGCGAGAGAGCCACTAACTCGCAGACGCTGATCTTGGCAGATCGCAGGTGAACGCCATCGTTTCTGGCATTAATAAGCACATTATCTTTCTTATGGCAACGCAGCACAGTGGCTCATTGTGGTAGCAGGTGGACGGCAAACTCGAGGTATGATGATTATCACCCAAGTCACTGGGGCCATATGCTCTGCCCTGACCCAGATACCGTCAATGCCCTGTGTTCTGACAGTTAATGCGCATGATGAGCTGAGTGTTCACTTACGGTCTGGAATTTTTATAACATATTAAACAAGCCACAATTTAAATATTCATACAAATGAGTGCCCCTTGAGTGTTAGCCTGCCATTTTTACAGCACCCGAAATCACCGAAACAATGATTTTTGGGAAATGTTTTATAAATATTTATTTCAAGTACCCAATAGGCTTTTGCAAAGAAACAAAGCATCTAATTAAGCATTATTCTTTTAACGAAACCAAAAAAAACACCAATGTTTTTCAAGGAAAACTATTTGGTTTCATGTCATGAATATACATTCCTAAAATAACTGCACTATTCTCATTGGCCATTTTTACCCTTTGAAGTGATTGTATAGAATGTAATGAGGTGTTAGTGCAAGTTTGAGACTGACGTAGTGAGTGTTCTAGGCAGCACACTTGCTCTCGGTTTAACATTTACTATGCATGCACTGATGCATCGATGCATTGCTAAAGATGTTTTCTTTCACGTGTATACATCCATTCACGGTTCATGCAATGAGCATACAAGCAATGTGCGTATGCTTCTTTAATATTAACGAAGAGAACAAAACTGAGTGAAAACGACGGAACAAATGAGAGACAAGAAACCAATCTTGAATCGAATCGTGAGCCCCGAATCGTGACACTTCACTTGCTAAATGGTTACATTACAAACGTGTAGCCCTGCATTGAACGCTCGCCAGGCCGTCCCTTGTTTAGATAATTAAGGTGAGACTGTTCCCAGTCGTCACATGTTGTCGAGTTCTGTCAGCCCCCAGGGGTAAGCTCTGTGTGCCAAGACTCGCCACAATTCGAACCGTGCCACCGTACGTGGGTCCTTTCTGATTTCAACCACTCGCTCAGAATACTTCATGTTTTTACGGCGTTCTCACAAATCGAAAGTATCCCTAACCTTAGCGAGCGCTGTATGTTGCAAGGCGCATTTATTTTTTTGACAACCTACCCGCAACACCTACGGTGAATGGCTGCCGGTCAGCAGTGCATGAAAGAGTGCGGCCTGTTTCTCTCTGTCTCTCTCTCCTGCTCCGTCACTTCACACTAAATACGCTGACTTGCACCTGTTGTTTTGCACGCTCTGCTGGAATAAGCATTTTCAACAACATCGTTTTGGCTTTAAACACGGGACGTAAACAAATATTTCCGCGGGTTTATCAGAGGTCGAAATATTCTCCCTCCTCTGCCTCAACTCCCCACGAGCGTTGTAATGATTTGTTGCGATTGGTCTTGGCGATTTCACTCGAGAATGGATTCCTGTTTGTAACATTGAGAGTGATGGCAAAGCCAGGGGTGATGTAAACTCATCACATGTACAACGTATGCAAATTTAAAATAATAGATAAATTATAAAGTATTGCAACTAAGATCTGTACCGTAGATAGCATCTGTACTGTCACAGGATGTGCTTGAATTAGAGCCTAACAGGGCATTGGTGCCTTTCCTGCTGAAATAACTGAAATCGAAATTAAAACAAAAAAAATTCACCCATGTGATGAGATGCATGAATCGTAAACTTACGAATCGATAGCCATTGACGACTAAATGCATCACTCCACCCCCTTTGCATTGATTTATTTTCCCAAGTGTTGTATCCGTTTGGCTTCAATGTTGTGTCTGCCATATGCTTCAAAAAATTGTTAACACTTCAGAGAATTTGCAACAACACCACAAGAAATGTGCCTTCCACGGGCTCTGGAGATCACCTGGTGAAGATTCCAGGCCACGTGTTGACGACGATGGCGAACAAGTGGAGACTCTCTGACTTTTTGAAGCTATTAACATCACATTTGTTATCATGTTACAGTGTATCATCCGTCCTTTTTCCATTAAACACGACAGTCCCGTATAAGTGTTAAAAACATTTTTAAGTATCCTGCATTATAAGAGCATATTTTTTGCAGGTTTTGCAACAGGTATGTGTGGTTAATGCAGACTCGAAGCTTTGCAAAAGGTATCTATTCGGTGTTTGAACATCTCAGCGCCTGTTTTATTGCCAGAAAGGGTGAAACTTAGAAATAACACTCGTCCATTGTGGAGCACACACACACACCGCTCTCGGTGTGCATCATCATTCAGCTGCTGCTTGTCCTCTGTAGCGTCATGGGTCGACGTTTGATGGCGACTTCACAGGGCACCGTCGTTTAGACTGGCTCCCTCGTTCCCACGTCGATGCACATCAACTATGTATGAACCGTGAGGCAGCTCGGAGTTGCCTTGGGAAGCCGTTCGGTAGAAGAGAGGCCTTGGATTTGACAGCGCGAGAGGCAGTGGGAACTCAACACATTCATCAATAACACTGCTTTGAAGAGGAAAACATATATACGGTGGTATTTCAGGCAGTTTAACACGCAGGCTTTCGCGACTAATATCATCCATAATAGAGGTTTTGTTTGGGTTAGATCGCGTAATTATATAAATGTGTCGTTAAACCCGCCACCATCCGACACAGCCAACTAGTAAGGGTTGTAACGTAAACAGAACGTGGCCAATTCGTCACTAGTACAGCAACACCGGTGCGTTGGAGAGCCAAGCCACAACATTTACAATCAGAGTACGACGTTTCGCCAGTAATTACAACCAGCTTCATCAGGCGACAGCCAGATTTGTGGAGAAATCCTCCTGTTGCGTTCCTCATGTTTTTGTTTGTTGCGGTTGCACCCGAGTCGAGAGCCGCATGGCTCACAGGACGATACCTAATAAATGAAACTGAAATGAAATTAACTTAAATAGAGGGGTAGGTGTGATGAAAACACTTGTGATCCATTCTTGAGTGAAGTGACGGGGGGGGGGGGGGGGGGATTAATGAATGCATATAAATGACTATGGGTAACAATTCTCGGTTGGGTTATTTGTATGGTTCACTTCTATTATGCTGTATTCTCTCTTTTAGCAATAATTCACTAGCTTCTTGTAGTCTTTCAGGCAATGAATGGCCCTTGTTAATAGCAAAGAGAGACAAATCATCTCAGAAAAAGCGGCGTGCCGCACGTGTAGAAATGTCGAGCAATAAACACACGTTACGCTTCAACCTTTTCAACGTGGAAAGGAGTGGAGCCGCCATTGTGTAATGGTCAGCACACTGGACTTGCAATCCAGAAGTCACCGGTTCGATGCCGTGTCCCGGCACGGCAGCGGACACAATGGGGGCAAGTCCCCTAAATCGTCTGCATTCATTACAAATATTCTACTTGGGGGAATGGTCACTGGTTTCTAACTTTCAGAAGCGGTCATTGATTCGGCGAATAGTTGTCGCTTTACCGTTTATTGTTTGAGCAACCCTACATTTTAACTGACTGCTGCTCCTCATGATCGCATGCTCTTCTGGGATTTGGCGATCGAGACAAGGCTGGGAATGCCCTTTTGCCTTTAAAAAAAAAAATGGGACACCAAATATTTTGCATTGGTTTATCAGGGGTGGAATGGGTCGCCCTCCTTCCCCTACCTCCCCTCCACCCACCAGTGAATTGATAAATTGTCATGATTTATGACGTTTCAGGCGATGACCCTTTTTCGTGACAAGAGAGAATGTCATCCGAAATGCCTCCCCGAGTTTATATTTTGTCCTCTTTACGGAAGTGTTATTTACCGGATGTATTGAGTTTTTGTGTTATTTGTGGTTGCACACCAACTACCAATATTGTATCCCAAAATGTTTTATCTCATAGGGAATGGACTGTCTCGGTAGGTGGCTAGGCTCCTTACAAAGTAATTGCCGTTGTCATTGCTATTTCAGTTGGCACGACAGTCCGCATCCAGTACTGCTGAATTAAAAAAATGTGCAAATTGATTAGCAGTCCTATTTTAATTGCTCAGCCTAATGCAAATGTTGTTTCTATTTTATTGCTAATTTTGTACTCTGATGGCAGTGTTTTGTTGTTGTTGTTATTTCCCTGCAATAATATTAATCATGATAAAAGGCAGCAGCTCTTGCGTTTCAAATCTGGTTCCCCCCAATTAATATGAAATAGCGTTTTATAGTTGCGGCTGCCGATGCACACAAGCTTCTTATATTGAGTTTGTGTGCTTGGTGCAATTATTACAAAGTTGATTTGTGGCGATATCGATTCGTTCCCCCCCCCCCCCTCAGGAATATGATATTGACGGAGCTCCTAGATGCATAATTAGCTCATTGCACATTAACAAAAAGAAATGTTTGGGGAAAATCTTGTTTCACTCAACGCCATTAAGATAATTATCTAATCAATGCAAATTTCAGTCTTAGGCCAGAGATGAACATCTGCAAGCCTTTTGATACCTTGTAAAGGTTTCAATTTGGTGTTTTAACATCTTAACACCTGTTTTGTTGCCAGAAAAAAAGGGGAAAACCTATTCTCATCTGTAAGCCTCTTGAGAATTTTGTCACCCACCTTGCCATGATCGCCAATGTGTTTACCTTATAACTGTCCTCTGTCCATCTTACTTTTCTATTGTATGTATGTTTAACTTCTTTCGCACCGTACGTGACCAACCGCGCTAATCGGAGGTGCTCATTCATCGAGGAAAGGTCTATCGTGTACCGTATCAGCAAACGTGCCATCCCTGATGTGTATTCACAAATAAAGATGCAGTTCCCCAGTAGCTTGGTCATGTTCGGAGATGGGTATGTTGGCCTGGTCATCCACACTGGGCAGAATATCTTTCCCCACCACACACGTCCTGCGTATCGACTAACTGTGGCGCACCCATTCACTGGGTGGACAGAGGCAGCTAGAAGGGAAACAACAAAATAATACAAATATAAAACAATTGTTTCCCTTCTACGTGACTTTACCGAAAGAACCAAGAATATGAATCCCTGCAGTCACGAAAGCTTTAAATCAAAACTTTGCCCATTGTTTCAAAGGCTGCACCAGGCAACCGAACCGGGAAACCCCAGGATTGCAAGTCGGTGCGCTCACCGTTACACCACGGCAACGTCCCCTCAGGCCTGGTACGGACGACATGAACGGATTTTCACCGACACGTGGTCGTTGGGTGATTTGCACGGTCGCCATCGAATGGAGGACCTTAACAGCAACCGTGACATGTGTGCAAAAACAATTGGCACACCGCACTGTCGACGCGCATAATGAGACTTATCCTGGCCATGCAGTGACAATGACGATGGTGACTGCTTGTTGGCGGTTGCACTCAGCTGTGCAAGGAGAACAGTACCAAGGAAATAATTCGCATTGTCAATGTCCTGCATACGCAAGCACCCGATGACATCTCTCCATTCAATTGCCCTAAACGTTAAATTGCATTAACTTGAAGACCAGTGTGACGTGTTTTTTTTTCTTTTACTTCTGTGAGTACGAGAGTAAAACGACACGGTATCGTTTTAGCCTTGTCTAGGCCACGATGTCAATTAAGTCGATTGGCGGTCACTGCCAAATCGATCGTGGGAATTGATCTCGGTGAAATTGATCGCTTTAGCCGCTGTCGGGTTTTGCCATGCACGCGAGGCGAGATCGCGAGGCGAGATGTCGGTGCAGGGCAGAAGGGAGCAGAGGGGGAGGGTGAGGTGGGAGGATGTGGTGGAGTGAAATGTGACGGTGGATGCGATTTCGAGGAGCGGAACAGAAAGGAAACACATGGAGAACGAAAATCCGGGCAGGCGAGTGCAAACAACGATGGCACATTTGGCCTGTAAGAAGAAGAGCTGTGTGTGTGTGTGTGTGGCGAGATGTTAACTCCCTCGCCTGATATGCAGGAGCTCATGGGTTTGATCCTTACCCCGACGCCTGTATATTTGGACTTTGCACGTTCTATCTCTCCGTGGTCGCGTGGATTTTTCTCCGGGTCCTCCGTTTTTTTTCTCCACATTTAGAAACACGCGTTGACAGTATTAGACTGCTATGATAAGCCACTTTCGTTGAGCTATCATTTGTGGCCAGGTCGCTTCTGAAAAAAGAGCTACATAGCCTCAGTGGGCCTTGCCTGGCAAAAATAAAAAAAACATTTGTTTCGTTTTAGGTGGTATATGTATGGGCACGTGGCACGCCGATGCATCACTGGCTGTGCCGTGGTGCCGCCCTGCTGATGTATGGAGGCCGGTGAAAGGCAGAAGAAGGCGATGCTTAATGCGCGTTGTCGGCACAACGTTTATGGCCGGCCCTCACGGCGCCCTTGCGCCCGGTCACCTTTTTTTTTCTATTCCACGGTGTGCCGCTGATGTGTTGCACATCGGCGACGGACGTGGAGGACACCGGAATGTGGACGCATGAGACGATTTAAAGGATGAATCGCCTGCACACACGAGAAGAAAGCGGGCGGAGAAGGAAAAAAATTCCGGCCGAGTCGGAGAGCGCAGGGGGAGGAGTGTGGGATGCGGGGGGCTGAAATAGCCCGGGAAAGGACGTGTTAGCTGTAACTTAGCTTTTTTAATGAGAGAGCGCTTCTGGTGGTGATAACGTTTGAACGGTTGCAGTTCAAGAATTCCTATTTACATATCAATGAGATGAGAATATTTATAGAATTCTGTGGTGCGCTTGTTATTTTGTTTTGGGGGCCTTGAAAGGTGGTGGTTGTGGTGGAATTAGGGTCCAGAAGCTTATTTGCCTTTTGACGGTTTTCCTTCGCTTTATCGTCCCTAAAAGGATGCATATGTGCCATGTGCTTGCGGTTACCGCGTCATCGGCATTTCGTAATGCCCTCACATTCAGGAGTGTCGTTGGGAGCAGACAACTGATGCATTTGTAGAATACAAAGTTACGTAACATTAGATTCCTTTTTTTTGCGAAAGCACGCGACAGATTGTTAAAATTTCGCTTCGTATAGCAATGCAGCACTACCACAAAGCGTGCCATATGCTTTTATCGCAGACCGCAGCCTATTTCCACAGTGCCGTGTCTATTTACGGAGCGCCCATCCGCTGCCCGCTAATACTGGGCTCACGTTTGCTCACCAAACCTTCGCCGCTTCGATTCCCTGTTTTTTTGTTACGTATTCGGAGGCCCAAAAATTTGCGACGGTCTTGACGTTATGCCCGGCGTGGCTATTTTCAGCCGCAATCAGCCCGTTACGGGCGGGCCGTGTCACCGCCCGTGACCTCGTCGCCGGTTTTTTTTGTTGTTGTTGTTGTGTTTTTTAAAATTCCCATCAATGAATTGGAGGCGCCCCAATTCATCGGAGCTGCCGTGCACCAGCGTGCATTCGCAAGCGGCGAAGGCTCGGCTGTGTTGGCACCCGAGACGTAACGATTCGCCGCCATTGCCCAGGTGCGCTGATTTGTCGAGGTTCCACTGTGAATCGTGCCTAAATTTACCGAAACTTGTTTTTTTTGTTTAACCATCTCGTGTGTATTTGTTCTCATCGTTTTTTTTCGTCTCGTTTTTCCCCATTTCTTTTTTCATTTTCTCCACAAGTGCAAATTTGCTACATTAGCATATCATTAGCATGTGATTTACGTACGCCGAATCTCACACACACACACGGTTGATGCACGTGCCTGTGGTCCCTTAAGGATCGATACGAATCTGAGTCGTTGAGCTCCTTTAGTTGTGCGAGAGGTTTGCCGGCATATTCTGTGCTTTCATTCACGTCCTGTTGACTTTATTGTTCGCGGCAAATGCACAAAGGCAGCTGCTTTTCTTCAGGTACAACCTTGAGCAGCGCCTTATTGTTGGCTTTGCTGACAAAGTGGGATTAGCCGAATACTTTTTAAGGGTCAAGAAGGTGCTTAGCAACATGATAGATGCCTATCATTTTTGCCATCTGCCAAACAGACAAACCAACAGTGTGCGTCAGTTGCGTAAGCTCTTCAACAACACACTTTTCTAAAATTACAACCACGTTTAAAAAAAAAAGTATTTTTTGTTTTCCTTACACCGCATTCTCAGCCCACTGCTGACGGCGAAAATGGCAGTGGGTTTGCGCAGCTGATGAGGACGTAAGCTCCGACTGCAGCAGGAATCCTCCCCCGTCTTGCCCTGCTATATTCAGATTGCGTTGAGATTAAAGAGAGCCACGTTCGTCTTGTGGAAGGTCTGACACGTTAATGAAAGTAGCAGGGGGGGTGGTGGGCTGTTTCTCGCCCCACTCCTCAACACCATCCTCAATCCCATCCGCCATCCCCCCCCCAACCCCTTTCGCCATTAAGGTGATTTAAGCACCGCCGAGATGTGCATTCCCGCTCCCTGCTCGTGACTTTCCAATAATTCTCCTCTCTGGCCCCAACGCTTTTGGCAGCTCATCTTTTATGGGTGATTAACCGAAGCCCGTTTAAGTGGCGAAATTTTCTCCGCAGCGTTAGCGGCAGCAGCGGACCTGCTGCTGCTGTGGTGGTGGTGGTGGAGCGACATCATTTTTTAATCTGTGAAAGACTAGAACGTTTCCAAATCATCAAATACTGGGAATAAATATGTTTGTGATGAGGGGTTAATTTCCTTCAGTAACTAAATATTTTGGGGATTGAGCGCTGGGTTGCGTGCAGGAGAATTGATTAAAGTTCGTCTCGTCAGAATGGAATGTTATTTTACTGGTTGAGAGATTCGTTCATGAGGCTATCCACATATACAAGCACAGAGACAATTTCAACCGAGAAGATGGATTATGGCTTAGCAATCATTGGAAGGATTTGATAAACCATTTCAGGTCTTAATTGATTGTTCACGCTTACAGTGGCTTTCAGACAGCATACATTAATTTTTCGTCTCCCCCCTCCTCTTTTCAGAACATAGATGGACTAGTCCTTCTAAATAAACTGCCAAATCGCTGCGCGTGGTGCTGTCATTTTTATAAATAAACAAACACCGTTTAAAAATAAATAAGTAAATGCTAACCGGCACACCTGATGACGACCGTTTGTGTTATGGTCGAAACGTCGTGAGAATTTTTATTGTTTTATATATATTATTATTTTATTATTTCCCTTCAACGTGACTTTACCGAAAGAGCTAAGAATAGGAACGAAGTTGTAAACTGAGTGTACCAGCCTGCAATAGATTAATGTGTCCGTCCGTCCGTCCCCTTTCAATACTTTAACGAAGTGAAATCTCGTGCTGTTGGGTGTAAAATCAGCAATAGACAGCGCAGAGACTTGATATGTCTAATTGCACCCAACATTTGGAAGTCACGTAACAGGAATGCGTAACAATGTCATAAAGTTGCGCAAAATTCCAATGTTCCTACCAGCCAACCCTGCAGGGACCTGTTAATGCTTCAACACCGGCTGTACATTACTCTACAACAGTACATTAACAGCAATCCTTTAAAGCAGTATTGTATTTTACTCGAATTCACTATCTTATGTCGTCTTTCTCTGCTCCGAAGATATATTTCTCTCATCACCATTGGTTTTTTTAGCACAGTGTTATGAGGCAGTGCTTGTTTATGGTATATTTCAGAGGTAGACTGCATACATTTTTTGTATAAGTACATTTTTTTACTAAAATTATATTATGACAGTGCTATGTATGTATGTATGTTAAACATATTTTGCACCGTATGTAGCAAATCGTGCAAATCTGAGGCTATCGGGGTCACGTCGACAATCTATTTGTAAGAAGCAAAGCAGTGCCCCGTGTTAGAGAATGATCCATACAAGGAGATATTTTCTGACATTGATGTTCCTTCAAATAATCATTTATCCACCAACTAGGGGGCGCTGTGCTTTCCCACTGCCATGCTACAGAGAAAGGATTGTCGCTTTGTAGTCAAACGGATGCATTATGGTTTTTAATCCTAGGAGCTGGAATTTTACCAAATTAAGTGAAAATCCACAGTTAAATATAAGTGTTTTTGTGCAGTCACAGGTTATTGGGCTAAGATCGTCACCACGCTATACACTTGGAAATACAGTTTAGTACACAGGTGACTAAAAACCCGGTTTCGAACCCAGGATTGTCATCTTAACGGTCTGACCCCTCAGCCACCCGGCCACATCTGGATCACTTATTGAACAAATAACGAACACCTTCCACTGAGCCCCCTGTGGATTAATGTATGAGGTATGGCGCCGGTAGGCTATTCGTTTTAAAAGAGACCCCCCCCCCCTTTTCCATTTCATGAAATGTGACTTGCACAGGGCCATTAATTTAGCGATGACAGATGTGCACACACACACACATGTGGACGTAGGCATCCATATGCATCCTGTCCTGCTGCACACCATTCCCACACAGCAGCATTGCATTAAATAACCCCCCCCCCCTTCTATACCAAGCAGATGTCTTTTGTTTATAACCTGCATCTTCAAGGGAAGGATGCTTGTGACAGCCATGAGTGAGGGCTGTCACAAGCGATCGATGGAAAAATGCCCTACCTCAGACACTGTAATTTTTATCAACGTAAAAGTAACGTTCTATTTTCTACGCTATAGTTATTTGCGTGCTGTCGAAATGTAGTGTTTGCAGCAGGGTTTTAATTGTTACCGGTTGGAGCTGGTTGCAGGAGTGTCATGGTGTCGCTCGTTGCTTGCGAGAACTTGATCATTCATAAAAATGTTCATTGCGCGGTTGTCTCAATTTTTTAAATTGCTCGCAATTAACTCATTGGATGGCAACGGTGAGAATCGTCCTGCCGACGACGACCCGGTGCTGCGAACCGAACGTTGGGTGCCATCGTTCCGTCACCTCCCGTGTGTCCTCCCGGCCGCCTAACGACCGACCCAGGATCGAGTGCTTAAGGTTGACCATAATGTCCAGCCTGTTAATCAGTAACGTAAACAGTGATAATGTAAAGCTGCCGCTTGACCTCCCGGCTGCAAGCAGGCGTCGCACGTTTGTGCGGGACTTGGAACAGGATTTGAACGGTCGATCTCTCGTGAAGCTCATCAGAAGAGCTGCCGTTCCCATGTAATGGACCGGCAAAGCAAACTTTCCGTTGTGCACAAATTTGAACGTGTTTTATGAAACATGGTGAAGTACACGCATATATATATTTTTGCGTTCTTTCCGTGCAGGCATTTATTATTATTATTTTTAAAGGGCATGAGCTGGCTACAGTCGGCTCAGCACGAATACAACTGGAATAAAATGTTTTTTTTTTATTGGGAAACGTTGAATGAGTACAAAGGAATCGTTGACAAATAATGCATGGTGCAGTACATAGATGCCCCACGTTTTATTAATCTTTAAATATAATTATATAATACCTACGTCAGCAGTTCTCCTGCTTTGTTTGTTTCACCTGATGACGGTTGCTTGTGTTGCGATCGAAACATCGTGATCTATTAATTTTCTATCTATGTGACTTTACCGAAAAAAACAAAGATTGTGGATTCCTGCCGTCACGAAAGCTTCAAATCAAGATTATATAATACCGTTACATGCTCGTGAACTGCATCTGTCTCGCATGTAAAAGTTTGAGCCATTTGCTAATCCACTGCTGGATTAAGCTTTAACCCCATGCCTTTTGGCATAAGCGTTGATGGACCATACTTCACCTCGCTGCTTGGTTCAGGTTCGTGGTTCACATACAACCCTTGCGACTGATGTCAGGATTGACCGGGATTTAAATTGATGTGTGAAGGTTCACAGTTTGCAGTGCTCCAACAAACAGTTTCACCTCTGCTCAACCTCTGTTTCATTTCTGATGACGATTTGCAATTTAAAATTCTGAGCAATTTTAAAACCCATATTTTATTCATTAATTTTTGTACGTTAGGATAATTTATAATTCGATTAGAGTTCCTGTCATTTACATCTTTTTTTAAGCATTAAAAAGACACGTCATGAAAATTGATGGCAACTACAGTGAGCTAATTAAACTTGGTTGGGCTTTGGAAGCAAATGACTTGTATTAGTCATCGTGACTTTCATCATGTGAGAGTGTGGGCTAAATATTTTGAATGTAATTTGTGTCAATTCTTAACCTCTGTGTACACTGTTGCTGCTACTGTGGCCACTGACATTCCACTTGAATGTTAAAGTAGTAGTAATAGTCTTAAGTGTTGACAGATGTGAACAAGAATTTGATTTGTTTTTCCTCACAAGAGCATCGCTGAGTCTCAAGACTCCTTTGCAGCAGGATCCTGTATGAGGATGTTTGGCAAGTTCCATGAATGAGTATTTAGCATGTGGGAGGAACCTAGGTTCCACGAACTATCCGCATAGAAGACCATAACAGACTTGTGAATCCATTACTCCACCGCCATCTCTAAGCCACCTCACATCGCAAGCTACATTACTTGGGAATTCCCAGTCAGTGTCCCATTCAGGTACTAATAATGATCTTTATTTCATATTGTACCTTTCATATCGAAATATCTCAAAAGTGCTGTACATACAAAAACAACTGTACTCACTGCACAAGTATTGATAAACCAAAGTTAATTAGAAGCCAATAATAACAATAAAAGCTCCGCTTGCAATATGCAGACACGATATGATAAATTCCAGTAATAATTACACTTGCAGGAGGGGTAAAATCTAATCGTACTACAGGAAAAGCCAATGGATAAAACTAGGTTTTTACACTATATCTAAAAGAACAATTCTGGCTTAAATGTGCTTAGCTTCTGCAACCTGATGAGTTCAGGCCAATTGAAGGTGATTTGAATGTCGGCAATATTGCCACGTTAAATTGAATGCTCGTCTAGAATGCATTTCACCATGAGGCAATGTTAAAGTTCACCTTGCGCGATCGCGGATGTGAACTTTGAAGGATGAGGACCGCCCACATCATGTGGTGAATTTTTGTTTTACCTTTGACCTTTTCTGCCCTTTTTTGTGACCTTGCCCTTTTTATGTTGACCTTGCCTTTTCCTTTCGTTTCTCTCGCTTCAGTCGCTACAGTCGCAATACAAGGCGCAGGACCTGAGGACGGTGCTGAACCATCTGTTTGAGATCATCCCTGGCCAGAACCCGTACCAGGACCACGGATGGGCGCGCTGCCGCCGCTGCGCTGTCGTGGGCAACTCGGGGAACCTGCTCGGGGCCGGCGGCGGCAAGGAGATCGACCAGCACGACTTTGTCATGAGGTACGCGGCACGCTGCGTCCGATCTAGGGGGCTCGCTGTCAGCAAGGTTGACGGTTCAATCCTGGACGGGGCTTGACTCGACCCAACATCCCCTGCGGGGTCAAATAGAGCGAGTACCACGTTGCGGGGAAGTCAACGGTAGTTGTTCCTTCAATGGCTCGACTCACCCCCGCCAAAGGAATGTGGAAACCCACCCACTGGCTCAGCATTGTAAACAGGGAATGAGTACCGCCTCCAAGCTCGAGCGGTGGTGGCTACGCTACACTTGCCTGGCTGCCTGTAACCCAGTACAGCCAGTGGATGGATTTTCATCTGTTTCCATCTGTATGGGGAGGGAGTTTTGCCCCCATTGCGTGCGTGGATTATATCTCCGGGTGCTCTGGTTTCCTTCCGCATGCATAAACAATAATTATTGAGCGGCTGAAAAATCTTAAAATGAAAACCCAATACAGGAACCTCCTTAAAAAGAGTCTTGTGAGCCAGTGTGGCAATACTGTACAGATAAGTTATGAATTGCTCTCATTACTATTATAATTTCAGCAGGCAAATAATCGCTGGCTTTTTTTTATACCGTGGGTGCAGGCCACTTCAGAAAGACATACAGTACTGCAGCCATTAAAATAAATCTTTATTCGTGCTCGGAAGACTTTTTTTGATTTGGCGAGTTCCGTTTTAATACTCTCCAACCAAGGTTGGGCACTTACTCTTGAGATGGTTTCTTGTGTGTGAATTGTCAGTATTGTGCAAAGTCTGTTTACATCATTACACTGGGCCACTTTACCATTGAAGGTGGTGACCGCATTGGCTCCTTCGCGCTCACACGAGTGTCAAGGTGACCTGGGCGCTACAACGACATGCCAGGACATTGTGGGAGATTCCATTGAGATGTAGTTGGACATGTCTTTCCTTGCCAAGGGCCCTGTTGTAAGGCTTTTACCGAGCCCTAACTGTCTCAAGTAATTGAATGCTTCACAACCCATCTAGAATCTCGTTTGAACAGAAGAGGTTTTTTTTCCGTTCGATTTGATTTCCACACATTTTGTATTCATTTAAAATTGTCCTTCATTTGAAAAGTGCGTGAACATCACTTGCATTTAACAAGGCCCGTTTTATGGACATTTTCGCAAGTGCACAAAGAGCTGTAATCTTTTTTTGGTACAACCTTCTTTGAAAAGAAATACACAAAACCACAACACCGTGAAACATAATCACATGCCGTGTTGTGCCCAGCTGCGTTATGTGTTTTTCATAGCACACGCTCCAGCTACTGAGCAAAACGATTGGGCCCCGTTCCCTGAGGGAAACTGCAATTTAATGTGCTAGTTAATCTCACCGACCCTTAGCGGCTGATATTTGAACGCTATTACCGGTAGCCAACGTGTGTTCTGATAATCTGTTGATCTAGTTTTGCGTTATATCCCTTGCCAACACCATTGAGAATGGCACGCAAACTTAAAAAGAAAAACTTTTTTTGTTTCTTGACTAAATTATAGCTTTTTTTTTTATTCTTCCTTTGAAGCCTTGACAGACTGTTCGGATGAGTGTTGTTCGCGAGCACCAGTTAAGGGCAGTATGGTGGACGAGTTGTTGTCGCTAGCACCATACCCAGCCGTAACTGTCTCCCCAGCGCTGATGCTTTCACACCAACACGAGTCAACGTAGAGGGAGGCCGAGGACAAGTTCAGATGTTTGTCATTGATCTTGGCGGTAACCGGTAATCGGACTTCAGTCACTCGGTTCACGGGGCAGTGCGCTAACTACAGTGTCACCGCTCCCACCTGCGTGCATCCACACACACACACTGTTGTGTGTTTATGAAAATGGAGGATAACATGAAGGGAATCCTTATGAATTGAAAATTGACATGCATACTGGGGACTATGTACAGTATAATTACAATGCTCATTGTTCATAGGCTTGCTTAAAGTGAAGAGCCCTTTGAACGTCATCCCTGGAGTAAAACAGTTCATCTGTTCACAACTAAAAAAACACGTTTTTCCATGATTGATGAATTGTGCTTATTTGCTTTTTATTAATATATATTTTTTGTCATTGTATACATGTTTGAGTGTGACTGCCAAAGCGTTCCTCTGAATAGTCATGCTCGAAGATTAGTTTGCGTTTCGTAAAGTCATTGCCTTTGTTATTTTTGGTTCACGAACTCCAATTTTTAGAATAATAATAAAAATAGTTAATCGTGCAATAAGTCCAGGCCTACATTTTATGTAAGTTCATTGGATAATGGAAAGTATTTTTTTTATCTTTAATTGTTCCACATACATTTAACCTCATGGCAAAATAGTCTTCATAGGCTGTGAATGAGCAAAATTAAACGTTAATACATTCGATTTTATGAATTCCATTTGCCGTTATGGTGACGCATTAGCCTTTTGCAAGTGACCGTGACATCTGTGGGGACCACTACAGTGCGAGGGGTTATTAAACACCGTGCAGTCGTGCACAGAGGGTCACAAAGGGACTGCATTAAGTAAATCAAATAACGCAAAACCCGTCACACGTTTCCATTTTTACTACTTAGCTCGGCTGCATTTTTCACACAAAGTGCCTGTCGCTATCTCTAATTGCCCCCCAACACATTACCACACACTGTGTGTTACTTAAGCTGCACCCGAGAAAGGCATTTCGGTGCGATGCAAATGAAGACTCATTACACTGAAGCAAACCTGAGCAGGTTCAGTAAAACAAACGCTGCAAGCAAAAAAGAATACGAGTGCTAAAATGACAAAGTGATATAAACAATGCTCATTTTGTCAGTTTCCGCCGCAGCAAAATCCTGAGAACAACGTCACGCTTTATTATACATCGTGACGGTAATGGCTCCTTAATATGCCTCAACCGACTGCCTGTAACAATGGAAGCATTTATAAACAATACATGTAAAAGCCCAGAATCACGCTTGTGGTGCGGGATGTTGCCTTCATTGGCTTCTCTCTCCGTTGCATCATTTTTTTCCCCCGTGGAAATGGCCTTTAAGCGAAGTTTAATCGTTTGACGTCGCACCGCGATTCGAGGTGGATCATCGGCCGGGTCCGCACGATTGGGCCCAGCGGCAAGCGCGCCCTGGCTCCCAGGCGTTCCCAGCCGCGTAAGTGGCGCTGGCTGGCGCAGCTGCAGACGCTCGTTTGAAATGCCAGTTTTCTCACTCGATTTACGATGGAGATTCCGAGTTGTCGTGTGCGCGGGGGCACTGCGATGCAGGCGCGGCCGGCGCAGCGCGCGGACCGCGCCTGCCCTTGCCTTCGCAGGGCTCGCGTTCTTTGTTTCGTGCGGCGTTTGAAGAGCGACTGGCAAAACGTCATCACTGTTGAGTTTGGGAAGACATTCGACATCCCTGTGATGTTTTCCTGCGTGCTTCGCAGCAGCGATGATCCGATCGACATGTCGGACGTGGTCCCCGTGGGGGACGTTTCCTTCGTCGCCGTCGTTTTTTCTGGCCGGGAGGACGATCGTAGCGATTGCTCGGTCACCGATTTGATGGCGTCCGTTGTGTTTCCACGCACGGCCGGGAAGACCGCGAGGAGATCGTCGTCGTCTTCCCCCATTGCTCACGTTAAAAGGACGTCACGCCGGGGTGCTGTGTTGCTTTTTTTGAAAATAAATGTCCATTTTTTTTGTCTCTCTCCATAAACAAATTCTAGTTTTGTTACGCAACTCATGTATGTATATATGTTGAACTTCTTTCGCACTGTACGTAGCCAACCGTGCAAGATGCACGGCCTTCTAGGAGGAGTGCACCGTGTCTGCCACATTGGTTTACCACAAGCAAACTGTGACCCGGTTTTGAAATGCAGTGTTTCATCAGCAGAATCTCGTTTGTATGAATCAATATTGGTGAACTGCCTGGTGTTTATAGGGAAGAACTATCTCCGGGAAAAAAATGCGTCCCAAGTTCGACACGAAATTACGTGTATGATTATTTATGCCCACTGAGGTGGAAGCAATTGCTCATATGTAATTTTCCACTGTAGTTATCTGCACAACAATGCATTTCTGGCCAACAATTGTGTAGAAGTGACTTTGGTACTGGGTAGGCAATGCCAAACTGATTCTTGAAAATAAAAATCTGCTCCTGCAAGTCTGCCTTTGATCCGCAGCGTGATATTTTTTATATACCTAGCGGCAGGACCAAACAAAGGTTACTCCACGATAGTTCCTCTACGTGAATAAGTAAGCCAACTGTCGTTCATGATCAGGTAATCGTCTCCACGCCTGCCACAGTGCGCTCGTGAACAGCAAGTGATATTTGTATCCGGCTGCAACAAAGGAAGCTATTGGTAAAATATTTTTCATATCGGTTTTTTTTAAAGATGTCCTTTACAGCACATGAGACGGTATTGTCACGAGAACAGGTGGTCGAAATGTAACGGCACTCTGGAGACCGGAGTCTTTACAGTGGCAGCATGCATTGTGCCGTCAATGCCCAATTGTTTTTAAGGCTTATTGCGTATGTTGAGCCTGAGAGCGGCCTTGGGGGACGTTGGCGCATTTACGCATAAATGGCGCGTGTTATAGTGTGCAAGTCTGCCTATTCTGTGATTGCAGTTCGATTCTACAGTACTTGGAATTACATTTCGCCCCCCCCCCCCCTCCATTACAAGGGATAGTGTGGTGGTCAAACACAGGTGGTTATTAATGTTATTTTGTACTTGAGCGGCACGAATTTGAGATATGGCACTGACGTTGTTTGAGATATAGCACGTGTGTATATTGTAGCACTGTTTTTTTATGTCAGTGATTTGTAAATGCAATGTTTAAACATAATTTCCTGAAGCTCAATATTCTCCTGACTCTTTAGTTTCTCCCTGATCTCAAAATTGCTAAAACAAAAACTGGCCGAATATACCAGGCAACACCTTATTGATAAAGTTTTGAGACTAAATTACTGATGTCCCATTTTCCAATTAGGATTCCAGTTAAACCCCACAAGTCTCACTCAACCTAAAAAAACAAGAGGACTCATCATGAAAACCACGTGATCGCAGCAACTAATATAATTATTAATGTTCGAAGTGTTGGCCCATAAAATGAAAATAGACAACACTGTTAAAAACCAAACCCGTTTCATTCCATCTGACTAGTCCTTGACATACATTCCTTTTGCTGTGATAGAGGGAATGCTGAAGTGGAGCAGTTTGAAAAGATAAGCATAAAGAGAAGAGTTGTGATCTGCAGTGTGTGGATGACATGAAACAGTCAGTCTGGTAGACTGAGTCCTCAACATAGATGTTGGAGGAACCAACGAGTGAGGTTCATGGGAACAGTACCATGGCAGTCACGATGTAGCCATTCCACGATCTTGAACAACGCTTTACAACAGAGCATTTTTCGTAATTAGAGCATGTGGTCCATTTGGAAAATCTATTAATATCTAATTGGACGGCTGTGGGATCGAACCATCGACACGGCATGGATAGAATCATCGACGCAGCGTAAACCGGCTGAGCGGCGAGCGCGCTTGACCATAACTTTGTTGAACCTTGCGTGTGTGTCTGCGTGCTGTGCCAGGATTAACCAAGCGCCAACCCTGGGCTTTGAAACTGATGTTGGGGCACGCACGACGCATCACTTCATGTACCCGGAGAGCGCCAAGAACCTGCCGGCCAATGTCAGCTTCGTGCTTGTGCCCTTCAAGGTGCTGGACCTCATGTGGATCGCCAGCGCCCTGTCCACCGGTGAAATACGATTGTGAGTGTCACATGCACGCACCCTTTCTCGCGTCCGCCGCTCAGCGGATTCGTCCACGTGGGTCGCCGTTAAGCCTGCAAGGAGCCGGGCTCAGAAGCGATTTTGAGATTGCCTTTGACGTTGCGCGTGATAACAGGAGTGACGGTGATTAAAACAATAAATAGGCGCAGACTTGTACTTCTATTTGTGAACCCCACTGAGCCGTGCTCTCTTGGCTTGGTATTAGTGCTGGTCCATTTGCATGGCCCTAATTCGTGCTCAGAAGCCACGCACCTTGGCTTTGCTTGAGATGTTTGTGCAAGGTTCAACTGAGTGTCATCATTGTTGTTCGAGGGCCTGTGCTGTGCATCAAGTTGACCGCACAAGCCGTCCAAGTCGAATGGGGTGCGATTGACAAATTACTTTGTACACTCCTGTCCTTCGCCCATTGAGGTGGAAGCAAGCCTTTCAGGGCTGATGCAGGGAAATGGCAGAGGGAAAACGTTAGCAGTTTGTCAGCACATTTTGAGTTGCATTTTAAATCTTAGCAGCTGTGCCCTGGCACAGAAGAAGTGAAATTGCCAGTAATCAGATTCACAGGAGTAGGACCTTGCTCTTGGATTGCATCCCTGATATCACCGTTGTATTACGTGGTGTCCATGCTCACCATTGTACCAATGTACATATCTGCCATGTGTTTCGAGCAGGGTTTCCCAAACTCCAAAGCCCTCGCGATCCACCACCGTGCCACATCTTTCCGCGTTCACCAATTTACTCCCCATTCAAATACAAATGAAACTCGATCGACGCTGCATGCGCCCGATGATCGTCAGGCAGTCCCACATGGCGTGCTAAGCAATTCACGCTGCACTGCGTCACGTGGAACCTGTGTACACGCAAGCATGTCGAGTTCTCGATGTTAATTTGAATCTGCTGTATTAACACAGAAAGCCACCGTGCAGTGGGTTGCGAGGACTGAGATTTGAGAGAGAAATTATTTTCATTTATTGGCAGTGAATAATTAGTCTTTCCCGCAAGTTGATGCATTACCACAGATCAGGGTCTCAATTCAGGTAATTTTTTTAAAATATTTTTTCCCTTTCTGGTGAATACTTAGCAACTAGAGCCTGCAATGTTTACATGAACATGTTTTTTCATGCAACACACGGCACCAAAATTCATATTTTCTTATAAGTACAATTCGATGCCTGTATCGTGAACACAATGATATTTCCATTGATGAATCAATGCAACGGTACACACTTTCATATTTACTCATCATAATCATCAGCCATGGTCAATCCACTGCTGGATGAAAGCCTCCCCCAAGCAAGCGGCCAGAGTTTACAGTCTTGCGATGTAGCATATACTCAGCAATCTTAAAATGATTAAACTCTTACGGTAGTGGTCTAGTTTTCACAACACGGCATATGTTTTGACGCGCAGCTAATAGCGCGAGCGAGTCTTGCGAAATACATGCAGCCGATAATTAAACGAGATCGTCTCCTCTCATGCCGCCCTGTAGCGTAGCCCAGCTCGGCATGTGGAGCCGTGAGCCTGATTCGAGCTGCGAATGGCTCAATATATATTTTACAGCGGGGGGGGGGGGCATTTACTGCCAATGTAGAAATCGTATATGTCCTCTGCTGCCTTGCATGGTGCCGACCGTCTGTGGCCGGGCATCAAAACGACGTTAATCAGCGGCCTTGGTTGGAGAAGCAGATTGATCCCTCTGCTCATCTCACAGTGAACTGGGAAAACAGTTGTGGCCGTTATTGGAAAATAAATGTTGGCTAGAGATCCCCTAATCCTTCCTTCACCTCGACAGTTCTCCGGCTTAAAGGATTTAATTAAATGACAGGTAGCGTAGGTGAAAACGCGGGGCACACATTTCTTTAAATTCTTAACCCTTAATCCTGGTCTTTGATGGATTGTAATTCAGTAAAAAAAAAATAGTGCGGTCTTCAGTTGCTGTTATTTCCCCCCCTCTGCCACTTTCTCTGCATGCGCATTGCTCACTTTTCAGTGGAGATGAAAAGAAGGCATTATTGGATGATAGGAGGGTTTGCTGCTCATGCACTTGGCCTCCGTCCCGTAGACGAATGGGTAAATGTGCAATGCCAACGGGCCTGTTGTTCATTTGTCCCAAGATTTTCCTAAACTGCGACTGGACATCTGCATGGGGATTATCTAACCAGCATGCTGGGCAAAACATTTAAATTGTTTGTCATCAAACACAATTTACCATGGTGGGTTTTTCTTTTGAGAGGTGGATTTAGCCATTATTATTTTGATTTCTTAACGCCCCTCAGATTATTTTTAGTAAGCGAATTAATATATATTTTAATAACAAATGCAGAATGTTTGTGCAGACCTATGGGTATAGCAGGAGGCTCAGTTGCTAACCACATTGGAATTCTTGCACTGCCATAAAAAACAACTCTGAAATACCGCTTTACATATATTTTTTACATAACTGAAAGCACGCCTTTAAAGCCTTTTCATATTGCATCGAGGCTGCGGAAGACAGCGGATATTGAACTTGTTGGTCCCTAAAGAAGACCTTCAGTCCCAGCACATTGAGGTAGACACGTGCAAAGCTGCTGAGTCACAGATGTGAAGGCACATCTGTGTTGGTCTGTCGGAACACAGCGCACGTGTCAGCATTACAGTCGTGATGTGGCAACGTGAGAAAGCGCTCACCGGGGAAGTAACGATTGCCTCATCTAACATTTTGTCAGGGCCTTTAATCTGAAGCCTGGGTGAATGTCTGTTGTGTTATAAATGGTTGTAGGATGCGGCATTTGGCCTTGTGTTAAAGGCCTTGACTCCAGCCTTCATCATCTCCTGTGCAGGGCCAGTTTAGTGTGATGGGGCCCAGGGCTGTTATAGTTTTGGGAGCTGCTCTTTATATTAATTTCCTTCCTATCACTATTTTATCACCACCCATGCACGATGCTCAAACACTCCATTGTTATTTACCTTTAACATTTAATTTCTACGCAATCCAGGTGTAATCAAATACAGCTATATTGATTTCTGCCCAGGACTATAGCAATACACTTGGTGATGCCGTGACATTAATGACCAAATTACGTTTTAGGATTTATCATAGTGCTGCAGTATTGCAGTTTCAACCTTTGTAAAGAAGTACATGTATATATTTTCGAGCTCCCTCAAAATCCAAGGCCCTGGACTGTGGCCCCTGAAGCCAGGGCTCCTTTAATCTGGCCCGGCTGCTCTAATGGTTCTCGGCCTCGCAACTGGAGCCTTTCCCAAAAAAACGAAAAAGTCAAGAAACCCCCACATATCCATTTAGTCTCGTAGTCGCGCTCACGTTTAATGTCCATGCGGAGTCGTGCATGCGTGAATGTTCACGCGACACGTATTTCTTTACGCGACTCCGTATAGCGTCCGCAAGTAGAACCGTCGCGTCATCCCGCGAGTTACATTTTTCACTCTTTTCCGCTGCTTCTGCTCTGCTCTATTGAAGAAAACGTTGGCATGCCTGTGTACCAGGTTAACGATAGAAAGGAGAAAAACAATCGTGGCGGGGGGGGGGATGAAAGAAACCGCATATATTGTGCTCTTCATGGGAATTTCTAAATGTTGGCCAGGCGCAGTGGCGCTGATCTGCATCTCTGTCCGAGTTTCAGACCGTCAGAGGCACAGTGTCTGTCAGTGGACAGTCATGGAGGAAGCAGCTGCCACCAAACACAGAACAGCTGCACAAATAGAGCACGGGCTCGCCAAAGATAGTAAATGCACAAAGACACGATTCTAGTGAACAAAAATAAGCATGTTGCCAGCGTTTGTGCTCAAAATCAGCGCCGCGGTTCTGAATCACGATGTATCCTGCATGGGTGCGTGGCGAGCGTTATTAGGCGTCAGATATACGTGCGGGAGCTTTATTTATATGTGGTCAATAAAGGTGATATGGGATAACATTCTCATTTGAACAGTCGTTCATATAATTAACTTTTATTGGTCGTTTAAAATACATTGGTGCCACTACAGAATTTACCACCCCAGGTGGTTTCCAGTTTACTCTCTGATAAAATGACTCAGAAAGCATATTTGCTCTTGGGCAATCATACAGATGCTCGGTTAGAATTCAGATTTTAGTTGTTAGGCAACGATATCTGAGCTCGGTTGTGATGATTGTTTTTGCATTTTGAATTTCATTGTTTGTTTCTCAGTCCACTTGTCCTGGTGAGGGTGGTGGTGGCAGTATGTTAAGTAGGGCGGTCCAGACCTCCCTTTCCCTGGTGACAGACTCCAGCACTACATTGCTATATACTACACTATACACTCCTATGCACTACTATGCTATACTACTACACTATACACTACTATAAGCTACACTACTATACACTACACTATACACTACTATACACATTCTAGCTCTTCCTGGGGAATTCCCATGCGCTCCTAGGCCAGCTGAGCGACATAGTCCCACCAGCGTGTCCTAGGCCGGCTCCGGGGTCTTCGCCGGTACCTGGAATACAACATCTTTTAAGATTATTTTTACAAGTTTATTTATCCAGATGTTACCTTGCTGTGATAACAAAAAAATCCATGCTTCCATTACACGCCATAACTCTGTGAACAGAGAAAGTGAAGGATGTTTTTTTTTGTGTTAAAGACTGTCAGCCCCAAATCCTCTCCACCACAGGTTGACTCTTAACTTCCCGAGTGTATCGGCGAAGTTCAAGTGAAAAAAATGCACTAAAAAATTGTCAGGCATTTATATTTTTAGACTGCAGTATACAGTGCTGGACAGTACCATGTGTATGCACGCTGCTGCGGTGGGTGCTTGGTGGTACTGCCAACGCTGCCACATCTGTCAGGTGGCACAATTGCCCCGTTTCACATGCTGAAAGAGGACATGGAATAGAATAAATTGAGTATTGAGATAAAATAAGGGCCCTGTTTTTTATGTCCTCTGACCACTGCTTGCCAGTGCGTTTCTATCTTTGACCACAACAAATATTTCTGGAGACGATTAAGATGTATTTATTAAATGGAGTGTTACTTTAATCATGGATACGTTAATACATCATGTTGTGGTCACGTTTAATCATCATTATTGCATTGGCTAATACATCGGTATAATTTTGTGTATTAGCAATTTAAATTTTGATTTAAAGCTTTCGTGACTGCAGTACTTCATATTCTTAGCTCTTTCGGTAAAGTCACGTTGAAGGGAAACAATAAAATAATAAAATATATATAAAACAATAAAATATTATTATTGCATTGTTTCCCTTCAACGTAACTTTACCGAAAGAGCTAAGAATATTAGCAATTTAGTTTATCAGTCAAGCCATACTATTTGTTATTGTTGAAGAGGCTTGTGTTGTATGTAGCAGAGGAGTAAACTGTGTGTAACGGTGCATTGAATTTAGTATGTGTATGAATCAATGTTTTTAAAACCCATTTACTGTACGTTGCAACTATGGTGTAAGTTGCTGCTGTTACACAATGGTTGCACAATGGACTTGCAATCCAAAGGTCAAGGGTTTGATCTGGCGGGCCGCTGCAATTGAAACATCGGGCACATTTTTTATCACCCACCCCCTCCATCCACCCAGCAGTGTAAACATGTGCACGGCAGTTAATTGATTGGCAGCACATGTAGTGGGGTAAAGTGTGGTTGCTCCCACCTCTTTCAAGATGTCTGATGAAAATGGAAGAGTAGGCCAAATAGCCTCCCGAAAGGGATTCTCTAGAGCACCTTAAACTAAACTATATTTTATTTTATTATAAGGCCCATTGAGCTATATAGTTCTTTTTCAGAAGCGACCTTGCCACACATGATGACTCAGCAAAGTGGTTTATCTCGTGGAAATTTATAGCAGCAGCCAAATACTCTAAACGGGTATCTATATATAGAATAGGGAAATTTGTGAATATGTGTGTCTGTTAGAAATGTTTAGCATACTTCCCGACATGCAAAAAAACTTGAAATTGGGCATGTGGGTAGCTTTCAGACTGTACACAATGCAAAAAGTATAAAAATAGACTTTTGTATATTTTTGGGGGGGGAGGGGGTGGGGCGCAATAATGGATATATTTTGCACGGCAAGTGAGCAGTGACGTCACATCTGTGATGTCAACCGCATGCGGAAGCGTTACGCAGTGTGCTTGGTGACGTCACGCATACATCTAGTTGATTATAAATGTGGGCAAAAAAAACGGAGGACCTGGATAAAATCCACGCAGTCACGGGGAGAACATGCAAACTCCAAATATACAGGTGTCAGGGTTGGGATCGAACCCACGACTTCTTGTATACCAGGCGAGGTAGTTCACATCTTGCCACCGCGGCACCCTCTCGTGAAGGCCCTTTCACCAGCAGTGGCTTGACCAATACATTACTATGCCGCACCTTTACCTTTCTACTGCATGATGTTTATGAAATCTATGAACCACCGAGGTAGGGGAGGTGATTCTCTGCACCGCTTGTGTGCAGTGATGGGGTACGTGTGCACCGTGTGTAGCGTCGGTAACATGCCACTTGGAATTGGATTGGGTGTAGCGTGTCCGTGCATGTCTGCATACAGAATTCCCCTCGGTGCACCGTCAGTGCGTCATGAAAAATGCAGCACTCAAAATAGCGCTGGGGATGGTCAATAAACCTGGACAAGTTTTGACTAATAACTTTTGAGGCGCAGTATTTCAAGGCAGACGGATGACACTTGCAAGTGGCAGGTGAATCGATGCACTCTTATTTATAGGTCTTATTTATTTATTTACCGCTGCATCAGCGCAGCCACGGATGCACGTTGTTTTGAAGTCTTAGCTGCCGATGCTGCATTTTTGTTATTCTCATCATATGGGCCGCTTCAAAACCTTGGCCCATGTAAACGTATTAAAGTGAGAGTCTGCCACGGGTGGTTGATGATCCTAACACGAAGGCACGAATTCCGCCGCACTGAATTAGATTTTAAAATGAGCAACGTTCCTCCACAGGGTGATGGGACCCGGGAGTAAATCTTTATAAAGTAGGTGCCATTATTACTTGGGTCTAACCTTGAAAAAATGGCTGAGATGCTCCTCCAATTTCTGCAGCCAATCAAGCGAGCTGGTAACTGCTCGCTCAGAGCGGCGGGCCAAGTGCTCAGCCATGCGGTGCCGCTGATGGCTCTTCCGCTTGGTGACTGTCTTTATGCGGTCATCTGCATGGAAATCGCATTATGCATGCTCACAATGGGATGTGCGCCTGAACTTAATCTACACTGATTGGGGATACATTTTAAGTGAAAAGTGGCAGCGATGTCCCAACAAAGGGTGCTGATGCCTATTTAGTCACCATGAGGCTGCGAGCCTCTCCTGTAAAACCTCTGGACATCTGTAAAAAAGGGGCTTCATAGCTCATCAGATTCCTCTGGTATCAATCAAGTTTCTGATTCTGACCGAGAAGGAGCCGTAACTTGAAATGTGTGTTGCTGTTTGTTTTGGCAGTACGTACGCTCCGGTGAAACGGTTTCTCAGCGTAGACAAGGACAAGGTAAGACACACCGACACTTTAATTCAAATCACACTCCGTTTAAATGTATATGCTTTCTTTAGAAGCTTAACATTTCACAATAACACTGCCGTGTATTAATGACCGACCACGTGATTGAAGGGACTGCCAAAGATTAATTCTCAACCAAATTGCTGGACCGGTGGAGGATAAAGTACTGTACGTAATGAATGTTGTTGAAGCCCCAAATGAAATGTAACTATACCCTTATTAATTTTCTGTCTTGTCTGTTATGCCTAGTACAGTTGGAGAATATTAAAAATAATGATTGTTTATTAAAAGAGGAAAAAATTGTCGGAGATTTTAATGGTATGTAAATTATCCACGTAATATAATTTATTTTTTACAATATTTTTGTTATCATCATTGTAACCATATTAATATAGATTTTGTTATTCTTAAAATAAATTTTGTAGAGCTAAGAAAGTAAACATAAAACAATGATGGTGTTGCTTGTGTGCATTCTTTGGCTAATTGGTGGAGATTTTTTGGCTCGCTAAACGTTTAACAACCACCTTATTATCTCACAGTGGTGTGCAGATGAATATGTAAAATAACTAAATAAATAACATTTCCGATGTTTGAGTCAGATTTTCTGTAATCGACACGTCCACCATTCATCAGTTGGATTGCCCGCTTAAAAAAACGCAACAATATTTGGGAAAACAAGTTTTACCCCTGTAATCCCACCTGTGACGCTGGACGGGAGGTGGTGGGCGGGGCGTGATGATGTCATCGGCACTCTCGGCCTCGTCATGCCCAGCGTGGCTTTTAGGGGATGGCCGTCATTTTGAAAAGGGCCCGAGATAATCAAGGACAAATAAGTAGCCAATGTTGAGTGGATTAAGTGCCTAAACATCCAACACCTCAAATTTTTTTGCCGAATGTTGTTTCCCTTCCATAATAAATTAGTTTTTTTTGGGTTAGATGGCGTAAATATAAATGTGTCATTAAACCCGCCACCACCTGACACCACCCGACACAGCCAATTGGTAAAGCTTGTAACGTCAACAAATCGTGGCAATTCGTTACTCGTACAGCAGACCGGCATATAAATTACATTTATTTTACACCCCCCCCCACTTTGGCCTTCGCACCTGATTGGCTCCCAGGTGAAGACATCACTTTTATCCCTCTATTTAAGACCAAAGCAGGATGATTTTTCCACAACTGTGGCTGTCGTCTGATGATGCTGGTTGTAATTACTGGTGAAACGTCGTACTCAAATTGTGGGTTTACTCTCCAACACCACCGGTGTGCTGTACTAGTAACGAATTGGCACGTTCTGCTTACGTGACAAACCTTACTAATTGGCTGTGTCGGGTGGTGGCGGGTTTAACGACACATTTATATTTACGCGATCTAACCCAAAAACCTCTTAGTGATAACATTGGTCGCGGAAGCCCTACTTATTGTTAAATTGTTTCCCTTTATCGCATTTACTGATCACAGGCCTCGACGATTATAATGCAATGTGGCCAGGATTGGAGAGCACTAATGATAATAATGCCAATAAGAACTTCTGTGGCACATTGAGCAAGGTCACGGGAACTTTGGAAGATTTCGGACGCACAGTTGCTTTTTTCTGTACGAGGGAGTAAAGGAGGAAGGTGTGTTTTGTTCTGAAAATTCGGTGGTTGAATACGGTAACGGATGAGAGGATACCATCAATCTAGATTTGAAGTTTTCGTGACTGGTTCTTTCGGTAAATCACGACGTTTCGGGCGGAACACCATTGCCCGTCATCAGGTGGGGACAACCACAGCAGCAAACAATTGCTGAAGTGGGCAAAAGGGCTGCCGTGACAAGAGGCTATATAGGTAAGAGAGGGGGGAGGAGCAAGGGAGGAGAGATAGAGAGAGGGGGGTGTGGGGTAGGGGGAGTGGAGCGCTGCTAGAGGGGCGTGTGGCGGATAAAAATATGCATCTTTATATATATGCATCTTTCGACTTGGATAGAACAAATATGAGCGTGTAATTATTATTTTATACCTACGTGACTTTACCGAAAGAACCAAAGAGTAGGAAACAGTCAGTTTAGTTGAAATAGTTTCTTGATATGGAGGAATATATCAATAATCGTGAAGTTCGCGGGAGTAACAGTGAAGTGAACAACGTTAAACATTTTTCACAATTATTTGGAACAATGGGGTTGATATGTTGTTGACACTCTTGTTATGAACAATCGTTTGGTACATTAAATACACTCATTAACATATATTGTGGATAATTATAAGCAATTCAGGGAGTAAACAGGCCTCTCGGCATAAATAACACACGTGTTTATTTTAACCGATTGGACAACTTAGTCTTCTGGACTTGTGCAAAATACACCAATGTGCTGATGTGTCCAAAACCGGTCCAGAAATTGCTCTTATGAATATATGCCATTGTCTATGAGGCCAGTTGGCCAGGCAGGGGGTGGGGTGTGGCGGCTAATATTACACATCTTTTGACTTGGATGGAACAAATATGAGCGTGTAATAATTATTATAGCTCTCTGTGCTTCGGTGTTCATTGACCCAGGGGGTGTATGGAGAGCACGAGAAACGGCCAGATTTGCTGTTTTTCTTGTTTAGAATAAAACCACCGAGTGTGGATGGTCCTTGTGAGCGGGGTCGTATTTTCAACAAATGAGGTTTCCAAAGCTGCTGCCTAGCAAAAAAAAAATGATTTCTGATAATTGTCTCCCTGGCTACAATTTTTATTCAGGTCACAGAGATGATGTCTTATGAGTTACGTTGATTGGATGGTTACTCGAGCTGCAGTAATTTATTTTTGGTGCTTTGAGGAGCATAAAAAGAGAAAATAAAGTTAAATGAAATTGCAGAGGTTGTGTCCTGCAGTCTGATAGTTCTGCTTTTCACGTACTCAATCAATATCACCCAGCTTTTTCCACAGATTCACAGTAAAAGCAATCAAACTCTCATCTCTTCCACTGTGAGAGAATAATTCAGGAAAATAAAAATGCAATTCGTGAATGGAATACAATCAAAATGTAATAGTGCTTTTGGTCCACGGTTATATATTCGAATGCCATTTGACAAAACATCAAGCCGAAAAATACAATCTGTATGGATGATACAAGCACGACACTTCTTCGTGGTGAGGAAATTAAGTGTCCTCATTCTTCATCTTTGTATTTGTCCACATGCACATTTGGAAACGTAGGCAACCCACATTATTGCCAAACGATGTGCCTTTGTGTTTTGCGAAGTAAGATTTATTACACTTGATTAATTGCATTTAATTATTTAATACTCTTTGTATAGCAAAACCAGTATCCTTCAGGGGTGGGATTCTTTACCTCCCTCAGCGATTTGATAATACATTTTTGGAATTTTGTATCACATTTCGATTCAATATTATTTTTTTTAAACTTGAAATGGGAGTTGGGGTCTAAGTTGTTCCCGAGTTCAGAGCAAGCCTGTAGAATGCGGAATACTATATTTACAATCTGTATTCATTATAGAATCCTTTAAGGATCAGGATTACTCGGTAGTTTGAATTCACATTTGTAGCTAGGCATTCATAGAATACAGACAACTAAATAGAGCGGTAATTGCGCACTACATTATTGTGCGCTTTACTTATGGATGTTCAAAGTGGTCCTTTAAATAAATAAATCGTGGAAAATAGTTATATGAATAGTAATTTGCAGAAGGGGTCCCACCCCCCAGGATAACTACCCCATCGAGATGTGGCATAAACATTGCCAGTGCCGTTACAGGTAAGCGGTACAAATGTGCCAAGCACGCTTAAGTGTTAAGTTTAAAAAAAAAACCCATTAACCTATAACAGTGCATCATTTTTATGCCAGTGGCAATGTCTATTTCCTTTAACTCTGTTAACTTTGAAAGTGCCTATTACTCATGCAGCACTGTGTTTGCATGCCTGGCGGTAATTTCAAAGCCCATCGTGAGAGAAGCACAGCTTATAATGTCTTGTTCTGTAGAGACCCGCACAACAATTGCTCTTATAGCCTGGCTTTGTTACGCTGTCAGTGTGATTTAAGTGAGGACAGCCACCACAGAGGTGTGCAAATGTGTCTAGGAAACACAGTGGCTTCAGGATGTGCTCGTAACAGGCCTCACTCGTGGTGAGAGCAGTCAGAAGAACCCTGAAGCCATTGTGAGCAGTGCAGATGATCACAATCCAACCTGCTATGTATGTATGTATGTTAAGCTTCTTTAACACCGTATGTAGCCAAATTGCGCGCATTGGAGGTGCGGGGGAAAGACAATAAACTAAACACAAATAGCATTTTTAAAGAAATTAGTTTTCAATCTAATTGATTTAAAAGCGCATAGCTCCAGTGGCTTCCAAACGTCGAAAGGAAGAGCGCTCCATACGGCTGCTGAAGCGCATCCGGAAGTTCGCAAAATCTACTTTGTTTTAATAGAGGGCCCAAATGCATTGACCGTATTCTCAAGCTTATGTGACACACATTTTCCCCTGTGTTTGAAAGCAATATTTGGGGAAGAAATTAGTTTCCATAGGCATGCGAGTGTGTGTGTGACCATATTTGTGTAATTTTATGAACACTGGGCACACATTTGGTGCATCTTACTCTGTTGGAGCATCTTGTACTCTGGAGAATTCCCAAGATGCTGTGCAATAAAGGCAAAGACTAGTTTATTATTTAAATGCGTTGTTCTGAAAGTGGAGATGGCATACATTTGATGCCGAATAAATACTTTTCGGTGCATATTCCATGTGCCATTGGTGTCGTGCGTAGCTTTAAATTGAACCTGTGTCAACTGTAACATAGCACAATGTGCTAACCATATGTGCGTAGAATTACATATTCAAACAATCCAACACAAAGTCAAAGATCCCCTATAGAGCCTTTTTAGCCTGTTGAGGCGAGTAGTTAGCAAGCACCTATGAGGGCCAGCTTGCCACACGGGGGGGAGGCAAAACCACCTCCACGGTTTTTTTTTCCCCCAGTGCCAATATTTACACAGCACACCAGGTACTCAT